TTTGCAGTGATATATATATGTATATATTCTAAGGAAAATGCCTCCTTATTGGTTCTACAGCATACTGTTATCTGTTTGTGTTGTCTGTAGATATCGGAAGTGGTGTTTTGGACAGGTTGTGTACTTACAACTAAATTGTGTGTATCTGAGAGTATATATTGATGCTCTAGACATTTCACACAGCAAAACTAACGTGCACTATACATTGTACATAGGACGTGCAGTGTTGTTGTTGATGAGGATGTAAACAAAGTCAAGGACAAGTTATACATTTAAATATATATATATCTCCAGCACAGCCTCAGAGTATAACTGTCTCCTCTATATCTGAGTGACTATGGATTAATGGCTTTCCTTCAGCGTTAGCAATCATCGGACTGGATAGAACCTGACCTTAACAAATCAATCACTACCAACAAGTATGGCAAAAATGACCAAAAAACACAAAGATGTTTAAAGATTTGAATGAAAAAGAGACATTTATTATCCTTCTGACTAAAAACACAAAGATGTTTAAAGATTTGAATGAAGAAGAGACATTGATTAGTCTTCTGACTAAAAACACAAGATGTTTAAAGATTTGAATGAAGAAGAGACATTGACTAGCCTTCTGACTAAAAACACAAAGATGTTTAAAGATTTGAATGAAGAAGAGACATTGACTAGCCATCTGACTAAAAACACAAGATATTTCAAGCTAGCTTTATTACAGTTACTAAGAGACATCAATTATGAAGGTTCAACCACACTATGGACCATTTTACACTTTAGCAATAATTCTAAATGGTCAATTTCTATAAATCTTAAGCATTTTTGTTTTCAAATGTTATCACCCATTTCAAATTTGAATGCATATACAGTCCATGGCCCTTGCTCATCTTTTTCTTTCCCGAAGATAATCGATTGATATCGATATCAGCAAAGAATGCCTGAAGCATATCCAGTGCGATATATATGTAGATATCCTGATCATTTCTTAATTATTTTGCTCTTTTAAAATTTCATTTATTTCTCTCTTTTTTTTTGTCATTTGAGTTTGCTCAATGTTTCATGCAAAAATTGACTAGCTAATTTTGTTTAATGCATCTTACATTTAGCGCTTCAGGTAAATTTACATCATGTAGTTTACCACACTGTACACTGTAAATGATGTATAGACAGGTAATTCTAGTGCAGGAAAGACTTCCCTGTAGTACAGTTGCTTCCAATAGTTTATTGGTGAATATACTGGAGACCTACAGAGCCACTTGATAAAGACTGCTCCACACACCTATATCCCCTTTGCAGCCTTTTTGTGAGGACATTGTGGCGGACACTTGACCTGGTCAATATAACACACAGGATGTATGCACTGTCAATATTGTTCCAATGTTATTGTACTCCAGGTGTAGGCTTTCTCCTCCGTGGGTTAAGTAAATACTCCCTATACTTGTGGAGAGAAATTTATTCTTCACCTCCTGGTCAGTTCCCTTTTTTAGCTCACCTGGCACGAAGTGCCAAGTGAGCTTATGCCGTGGTGCGGCGTCCGTCGTCCGTCCGTCCTTCGTCCGGCGTCAATATTTTACTTTAAACGACTTCTTCTTAATAACCGAAAGGCCTAGGGTGTCGATATTTGGCCAGAAGCAAACTGGGATAAAGGGCTACAAAGTTTGTTAAAATTAATGACCTTCACCTATTTTGAAGGTCACAGGGGTCAAATATGTTAAAAACTTTAAACATCTTCTTCTTGATAATCAAACTGCCCAAGTAGATGATATTTGGCCAGTAGCATGCTTGGGTGAAGGGCTACCAAGTTTGTTCAAGTGAATGACCTTCAATTATTTTCAAGGTCACAGGGATCATTTGTCTTAATAAACCTTGAAACAACTTCTTCTGAATAACCAAAATGCCCAGGGTGATGATATTTGGCCAGTAGCATAATGAGATGAAGGGCTACAAAGTTTGTTCAAATGAATGACCTTCACCCATATTCAAGGTCACAGGGGTCAAATATGTTGAAAACTTTAAACAACTTCTTCTCAATAACCAAAATGTCCAGGGTGATGATATTTGGCCAATATCATGCTGAGATGAAGGGCTACAAAGTTTGTTCAAATGAATGACCTTCACCCATATACAAGGTCACAGGGTTCAAATATGTAAAAAACTTTAAACAACTTCTCCTGAATAACCTTTTTGCCCAGGGTGATGATATTTATTCAGTAGCATACTAGGATCAAGGGCTTCCAAGTTTGTTTAAATGTATGACCTTGAATCATATTCAAGGTCATAAGAAGCAAATATGTTCAAAATATTTGAACAACTTCTTCTGAATAACCAAAAGGTTCAGGATGTTGATATTTATCATTTATCATGCTGAGATGAAGGGCTACAAAGTTTGTTCAAATGAATGAACTTCACCCATATGCAAGGTCACAGGGGTCAAATTTGTTTAAAATCTTTAAACGACCTCTTCTGAATAACCATGGGTCCCAGGATGTTGATACTTTGCAAGTTGCATCCTGAGATGAAAGGCTATAAAATTTGTTCGACTTTCAATCACAGGGGTGAAATGTTTAAAAAAAGTCAACAGGGTCTTTTGAATGAATTTTAATCATAAATTCTGATATTTTGCCTGTAGCTTTATTTTAGATCACTTTTAAGGTTACAAGTGTGAGATTTATACCAGGTGAGCGATGCAGGCCCATTGGGCCTCTTGTATTGATAGGGTAAATATCCTGTGTGATAAAATGCATGAGTTTGCAATCTTTTTACAAGGAATGGAGATATTATTAAAAGTTGATGATTCAAAAACCTTGACCAAAGAATTTACTTGATATTTTTTACGTGAACATTTTTGACCAAAATACTTTTCCTGGTTAACGCTTACAATTGAACCAAATAGATATTGACCATAGACATGATTTACTAGAGAGTCTGCACAGGATCATTATAATGATTTCTGAGAATATTAATAATGTCTGGTTATCATCAATATCACCATGCGCCATACAAACAAAGGGAAAGCAGGGGGGGATGTTGAGTGGAGTCTGCAGAAGCTGTCTTGCAGGAATTAAGGTGTATACATTAATCTGATGTACATGTATATTAGTTAGATAGTGAATGTTATCCTGCTGATATTGATCCCTCATCAGTTACAAAGACTAATCAGACTTGCTGTCTCTGTGTAGAATATCTACCTTGACTGAGCACCTATACAGAACTGTATCAGGTGAATTGGGGATATGTAGCACTATAGATTATAGATTTACTCTGCTTAGGTCAGTGTATCTTGTAGAACCCCTTGCTTGGGCTATAGTTAACCTACCTGGTGTATACTTGTAGTAAAGTTGTATATATACCTACCATGATTGATCAGCCTTACCTCTGATAATTATTGATTAGGTGCTGTATGTACTTAGTAGTACATGAATAGGGTGGTTTGGGTATGTGTTAGAAAATGTGTGTTGTGATCATCACTTCTGATAAAAATTAAAGACGATTGTGATTGATCAACAAATAAAGTAGGTCACCCACAGTCAACATATCTTGTTTAATTGTTATAAAGAAGGTCACTCACCAGTCAACATATCTTGTTTAATGTTTATAAAGTAGGTCACCCAAACTCAACATATCTTGTTTAACTGTTATAAGGTAGGTCACTCACCAGTCAACATATCTTGTTTAATGTTTATAAAGTAGGTCACCCTGTTTACAAGTAGGTCAATCAGCAGTCAACATATCTTGTTAAACGTTTATAAGTAGGTCACCCTGTTTACAAGTNCTGTTTAATGTTTATAAAGTAGGTCACCCACAGTCAACATATCTTGTTTAATGTTTATAAAGTAGGTCACCCACAATCAACATATCTTGTACAATTGTTATAAGGGAGGTCACTCACCAGTCAACATATCTTGTTAACGTTTATAAGTAGGTCACCCTGTTTACAAGTAGGTCAATCAACAGTCGACATATCTTGTTAAACGTTTATATATAGGTCACCCTGTTTACAAGTAGGTCACTCAACAGTCAACATATCTTGTTAAATGTTTTTAAGTAGATCACGCAGCAGTCGACATATCTTGTATATATGTTATCAAGTAAACGTTGAGCACTCAACAGTCTACATATTTCTAATAGGAATATCACATATTTCTGCCTCATTGTCCCACTCTACAGTAACTCATATGCACATGTAATCAGACACTTGCATATGCTGTGAAATCTGTATAAAGTCGGTCAGTCATCACGGCCATTATACATGTAATCACCAGCCACAGGGTTTCCTTTGACTTATCAATGGAATATGCGTACACATGGCTGCACAGCTCTTACACTTTGAAATATGTCTGTTGCTGAATAAAATCATTACTCTGTATGAATATTGTAGTGCTGAATGACTATCATCTTAGCATTGATTTAACTTTATAGTTACATCTGCTCTGTACATGCAGTGATATCCAAAGCTTGATTAAAAATACAAGACATGGTTGGGATTGAGTTGGAAATGACTAAAAACCTTTGAGTGAATTCAGTTTTGTAGTTACAATATTACAGATTGTACAAACAGGAGAGCATGTTATCAATGACATGAACAAAATGTGAAGCATGACATTAAATACTAAAACTGGGAAAAGAAAGATTATGAATATTTGAACATTTAAGTATATTAACATGGTGTATATGTCTGTGAAAACAACTTGTACTTCTGTTGTTGTGCAGTGTTGAAAACATGACTGTTACTTGAACCTTTTCTTTTTCTCCAATATTTCTTACATGTAATTCTAGTGCGTATTGACTCCTTCTATTTATCTCTTTCTTTCCTACTTTGTATCTTAATCTACTCTTTCTTTTCTGAGGTGTGCTGGTATATCCTTTGGGACAGATCTTTATAAGACTAGCTTGTGTCAGGACATAAAAACAAAGTAAAACAAAATAAATCATTTTCCGGTATTTTGTTTTGTATTTCATTGTGGACCAGTGCAAGCTGACACCAGATTAACTAGTTTATGTTGTTTCAGGTAAAACACAAGACAACTGGCCAGGTGATGGTGCTCAAGATGAACATTAACAAATGTAACAGGATGTCTATGTTACGAGAGGTTCAGCTGATGAATCGCCTGTCTCATCCTAACATCCTCAGGTAAGTTAATCCATAAAGTACTGTCTCATCCTAACATCCTCAGGTAAGTTAATCCATAAAGTACTGTCTCATCCTAACATCCTCCGGTAAGTTAATCAACAAAGTACTGCCTCATCCTAACATCCTCAGGTAAGTTAATCCATAAAGCACTGTCTCATCCTAACATCCTCAGGTAAGTTAACCCATAAAGCACTGTCTCATCCTAACATCCTCAGGTAAGTTAATCCATAAAGTACTGTCTCATCCTAACATTCTAGGTAAGTTAACCCATAAAGTACTGTCTCATCCTCACATCCTCAGGTAAGTTAATCCATGAAGTACTGTCTCATCCTAACATCCTTAGGAAAGTTAATCCATAAAGTACTGTCTCATCCTAACATCCTAGGTATGTTAATCCATAAAGTACTGCCTCATCCTAACATCCTCAGGTAAGTTGATCCATAAAGCACTGCCTCATCCTAACATCCTCAGGTAAGTTAATCCATAAAGTACTGCCTCATCCTAACATCTTCAGGTAAGTTAACCCATAAAGTACTGTCTCATCCTAACATCCTCAGGGAAGTTAACCCATAAAGTACTGTCTCATCCTAACATCCTCAGGTAAGTTTATCCATAAAGTACTGTCTCATCCTAACATCCTTAGGAAAGTTAATCCATAAAGTACTGTCTCATCCTAACATCCTCAGGTAAGTTAATCCATAAAGTACTGTCTCATCCTAACATCCTAGGTAAGTTAATCAATAGAGTACTGTCTCATCCTAACATCCTAGATATGACAATAGGTAAAGTACTGCCTCATCCTAACATCCTCAGGTAGTTAATCAATAAAGCACTGTCTCATCCTAACATCCAAGGTATGACAATAGGTAAATTACTGCCTCATCCTAACATACTCAGGTAAGGCAATCAATAGAGTACTGTCTCATCCTAACATCCTCAGGTAAGTTAATCCATAAAGCACTGCCTCATCCTAACATCCTCAGGTAAGTTAATCCATAAAGTACTGTCTCATCCTAACATCCTCAGGTAAGTTAACCCATAAAGTACTGTCTCATCCTAACATCCTCAGGTAAGTTAATCCATAAAGCACTGCCTCATCCTAACATCCTCAGGTAAGTTAATCCATAAAGTACTGTCTCATCCTAACATCCTAGGTATGAAAATAGGTAAAGTACTGTCTCATCCTAACATCCAAGGTATGACAATAGGTAAAGCACTGTCTCATCCTAACATACTCAGGTAAGGCAATCAATAGAGTACTGTCTCATCCTAACATCCTAGGTATGACAATAGGTAAAGCACTGCCTCATCCTAACATCCTATGTATGACAATAGGTAAAGTACTGCCTCATCCTAACATCCTAGGTATGACAATAGGTAAAGTACTGCCTCATCCTAACATACTCGGGTAAGATAATCCATAAAGTACTGCCTCATCCTAGCATACTCGGGTAAGTTAATCCATAAAGTACTGCGGCCAACACAGTAGTATATTAGTTCCTTGTTGCACAATGATCTGTCTCCGTTGTTGCTTAACAACAAACCAAAGAGGTTCTGAGTAGATATGAACAGCAGTAATCTTTAATTGAAAGGAAGTTGGACGTTTATACTGCAGACATGTGGTCTGGGTAATGTGGTCGGATAGGGAAACAGACTCATTGTGTGTGTGTTGTTGTGATGTTGATGCCATTCCATAATCAAAACAAAGCAAAAAAAAAAAAAAAAAAAAAAAAAAAAAAAAAAAATGCTAGGGACTCCAAATATTTTTTCCAAATCATTTATTGCATTTGAATTCTCAAAATAGATTATTCTGCTGCCTGTTTCGGACCTCACTTTTAAGAATGATCAGTGCTTACTGGTATAGGGCTTGAGAATGTACTATTTCGTTTTAAATGGAAGTCACAGGGTTTACCCTAGAGAAACCGTAAGCTGATGATATAGTGTCACATCACACTGCGTAACTACTGGATTTGATCGGGTCACTTCTTTCCTTCTAAACTCTGTTATGATGCTCACTTATGACCTGTCCGTGTGTGACCAGATTTAGGGTCAGCTTGCTGCAGGATGTTGTACAGAGGCATGAGAAATATCAGATCACTTTAATGTAATATAAGATGTGATTTTAATTAATGTTCCAATGATATGGAGAAGGATTAATACTAAGGTAGTTAGACTGGCCCCCGTCACTAAAATATTGAATTATTTAGAAAAAAATAAACTGTAATAATTTTGATCATTTGGATGACTGATTCTAGAGACCCGTAAGTTCTCAAACTAGGGGGAGATAAGCCAGTACAAAGTACATAGTAAAATGCTAGATTCATAAAAACTTTGGGACTGGTCGCCAGTCTATGAGGTTAATGTAGTCTGCACATGTCATTTATAGCATACACTGTGCAACAGATTGATTGGTTTGATGAAGCATGTTAACCCGTTCACCCCTAGGATCACATTTGAACCTTACCAAATCAAGGACTGGGCAAGTCCATTTGAAAAATGTAGGGGTGAATGAATTAAGTTGTTAAGCTAGTCTGTCTTTTAACAATGAAGTATTTTAACAGGATTAAAAAATGTTAGTAAAACAAAGGATCAAGTTATTTGTAACTTGCAAAAGTGTGTGCATAGGTGGTGTATGTCTGTAATACACTGTTGTAGGGTACACATCGCAGTAGATCTATGCACTTCACATGTTGTCAAGGTTGATGTAGGTTTTTACTGCAGTCTGGAGCAGATCTAAACTGGCAGAAACAATGCAGTAATTGCATTCAGACATATAAACAGCAATCATATAACTGTTGATTCTCAACGCCTATATAATTATACAGTCCATATCTGTGATGTTCATTTTGAAATATTGCTCGTTTTGTCTGTTTATTATAAAAGTTTTACATGAAAAGGAAGATATATATCATATTGATAATAAACTTCCTGTACACGTCAACAATGCAAGTATGCTGTATAATATATCTTGATTCTAGAACAAACACATCACTAAATCTCATACTCTTTCAAAATGTGATATAAATTGGATTGTTACAATAGCTCTTGAACAGCTACACTTCCATGCTAATGAGATTGTTAGGTGGCTATAAATGCGTACCACATTGCAGATAGCATCGCTCAGCAGGGTGTGGGGATAAATTTAAGACTTCAACTTATGTAAACAAGTCTGTTTGATGATGGACATGCCATTATCTAGGCTGTCTAACAAGGAAGCAGCAATGTAAAACAAGGGAGATAATTATCACAGTTCAGTGGTATTAACTAACTTGGCACAAAAGTTACCAAGGGAGGTAATCAACATAAATGTTAAGTTAAGGACCCCTGTCCCACTGTACTCTGGTTTTTGTCTCGCCACAACGAAATAGCTGAAGCAAGACTAAGGAATTGCTTTTCTAGCGACGGCGGCAGTGTCAACATTAAGTTTTTGAGTTAAAAAAAAAGCTAGATCAACCAAACTTGCACCATAGATGCATCGTAGGTTAAGTACATCTCAACCCATGTATCAAATGCTTGATGCAGCCTACCTTTAGTTAATTTTTCTGAAACTGTTAGTGCTAGACCAACCAAACTTCACATGTGCATTGATTGTCAAAGTGGGTCAAAGGCAAGACATACCAATCCAAATGGCTTGTTAATATATAGAGTAACATCCCCTTAATTTCGTTTTTCGTTTTGGAGTTAACTGAAGCACACTTTGGCCGAGACACTTGCCTTAACCAGTTATAGCTCAGTGGGTTAGAGCGATAATATAACAGTCTGAGGTCTAGGGTTCGAGTCCTTGTCTGGCCACATCGTTTTTTTTACACTCGGTGAATGTTGTTGATTATTTTTGTTGAATATGTCTCTTGTTTTTCATAAAAGTCTTCAAGGTATGGTGTTCTTTTCAGAATGGATATTTTATCCAAACTGTAGCTATGCTGGAAAAGTCAGTTCCCACGGTATAATGACAGATTTTGGAAGGGGTACAGGGATCCTTAAAATAAATTTGACAATAAATTTGACCTTGAAGGTATTTAAGAAATATTAAGTGTTCAGAAGCATTTGTTTATTGTAACTAACTATAGATTTTAGTCTATTTTCTCTCTGGTGAAGTATATGCGAGTCGGTTCATTTTCTATATATAAATTGTATGTTCCCTGAAGGTTTTTTATGAGGTTGATGAGATTCCAGAACAGTGTTGGCTTTGTTGTCAGGTTTTCTGGGACTGTGCCATTGATTATAATTGGCTCCATGATTTTTCATGTCAACAACTTGAGATTGGATATTTACTTGCGGGACCAATGCTAAATGTCATTTCCCTGGCTTGGCTACCAAGATTGGTTCCTTAGTTACCACCTCCACAGCTGTATTTGTGCTGTATCTTTGTTGACCCAAATCCATGCCTCATGTATGGATAGTCCGAATCAGGGTCTGTCTATTATAGGAAATCATTACTTATCTAGTTTATGGCTTCACACTTTGTCAAAGAGTAAAGTAAGCCTTTATTGAACCATTTTCATTAGAGTACACTGACTCTTTATTGAATCCGCTATGTTAGTTCCTAGGGTCAGTCTTCATCAAATCCTATAAATTAGATCCCTATTTTTTTTTATTGAACTGCTTTATGACTGAGGTTCTTTATAAAAGAGTAGGGAAATACAGTGTATAAACATTTTATGAGATTGTTACAGAAAAGTGAAGTGAGTTTGTCTGTAGCAGTTTTACACAATAGTGAAGTGAGTTTGTCTCTAGCAGTTTTACACAATAGTGAAGTGAGTTTGTCTGTAGCAGTTTTACACAATAGTGAAGTGAGTTTGTCTCTAGCAGTTTTACACAATAGTGAAGTGAGTTTGTCTGTAGCCGTTTTACACAATAGTGAAGTGAGTTTGTCTGTAGCAGTTTTACACAATAGAGAAGTGAGTTTGTCTCTAGCAGTTTTTACACAATAGTGAAGTGAGTTTTTCTAGCAGCTTTACACAATAGTGAGGGGAGTTTGTCTGTAGCCGTTTTACACAATAGTGAAGTGAGTTTGTCTCTAGCAGCTTTACACAATAGTGAGGTGAGTTTGTCTGTAGCCGTTTTACACAATAGTGAAGTGAGTTTGTCTCTAGCAGTTTTACACAATAGTGAAGTGAGTTTTTCTAGCAGTTTTACACAATAGTGAAGGGAGTTTGTCTAGCAGTTTTACACAATAGTGAAGTGAGTTTGTCTGTAGCAGTTTTACACAATAGTGAAGTGAGTTTTTCTAGCAGTTTTACACAATAGTGAAGTGAGTTTGTCTAGCAGTTTTACACAATAGTGAAGTGAGTTTGTCTCTAGCAGTTTTATGCATTAGTGAAGTGAGTTTGTCTGTAGCAGTTTTACACAATAGTGAAGTGAGCTTGTCTGTAGCAGTTTTACACAATAGTGAAGTGAGTTTGTCTGTAGCAGTTTTACACAATAGTGAAGTGAGTTTGTCTCTAGCAGTTTTACACAATAGTGAAGTGAGTTTGTCTGTAGCCGTTTTACACAATAATAATTTGTGATTTTGTGGCAGTGATTTACATCTGTGTTCATATTAAAGATGTCGGCAAATATAAAGTAGAGATATGGATTCCACAATTGAATTCATTATGATTGTCTACATTAGTACAAATGTTTGATTATTATTTATTAAAAAGATCATTGAAATAGGCTCCATCTTGATAAATGGATTATAAGTATGATCCATGTTCAGTTTTATTGATTTTTTTGTCAGAACTATTTATAAATAGACTGCACACATTAGTTTGATGTGTGTAATGGGTATTTATTTTGTCATTTACATAAAATGTTACATCTAATTGATCAATAAATTTGAAATAATTAAATCACTGTTAAATCTGTGTCTACCGTTACATTTGATTCCTTTCTGTAAATGAAATCCCTACAGATCATTGTGTAGCTGTTTTTTTATAAGTAACAGCTGCAAACTTATTGTTTAATATCACGATTGTTCATCAGAGCTGGGCACAAGATGTTTTATTTCTAATAAATAGATATATTGGTATAAACTAAAATTTCTTGCTTATAAATTTTTATCTGAGATGCATTCTTAGTAAGATTCACACATTTTTCTTTCCAATTTGATACCCCCTCCCTGCTTCAGAAAAAATTTCATTCTCTTAAGTAATAAAGAAGGTTAATAGAGGGATAAGGTGTTTATACCCTTTGATACTTAACTAAAGGAAGGTGGCAATTTCAAAATACACCAGGAAAACTCTAGGAAATGTATGTTAGGTACAATCAGCATGATACTTAAGGTAAGATTTGTTACTTATCATATTAAGTTGGACAGAAATCTGGTATGGATAGTGGTCTGGTAATTTTTTCGTATGTAGAGAAACTTCCAGACCCAGGGGGAGACTTTCTGCACGTACTATCTGTGTATGACCTTGACCTTGGTGTTGAATCATCTCCATGTTGTGGGAGTCATCCCTTCCTGTGGTTGACTGTACTCAGGATGTATATTGAACAAGAAAATGAACACCTTCAGTAAACATGGTCACATGTGTCGGATACACTAGCTGGGTGTCAAATTAACACGGGCTCGCTTTTATGATTAAGATTCACTTTTTGTTTGTACTAACAATACCGTGCCCTGAAAATTGATCTAATGTATGAGGCAGACCATCCACATCTGAACCATCAGATAGAGCATGAACATAATAAAGAACAAAGTTTTAACGGGACAAGCATCAGAAATTTGGAAACTTTCATCTTTTTGTATCGTGCTTTGTATGTATGCATAAAATTGCAGATAAATATGAATATAACCACACGCAATCTTCACAGTGATTTCAAAGCCACGAATACATAGAAGACGCAATCTAATTACAGAGCAGTCATAGAGACAAGATCAGTTTTGATCATTCGGAAAATTATAATCCGGATCATGCTCTTACAGTATGTGTTGAATCAAAATGCTTAGTATGGTAGAGGATGATACACTCCATGTTGCTGTGTGGGCATTAGCTGTAAGAATGGTGATGTAAGATTAGCTTACCAGATACAAACCATTAAACTTCACTATCATCTCCTACTACCCCCGGAAGTCATCAGCAATTATATAACGAGCGGCCAGCTTGTTGTGTACTGATAAAAGTACCTTGTGTATTCTTATCTATATGTGTGCACATGTTGAAACAATCACACCTAATTACAGCACGTACATGCTGTAATTAGCAAGCTAGAATGTGCGCCATGCACAGTTTGCAAATTTCCTTTTGAAAATCGGCACATTAATATTATCCTGGATGTACCATTTTCACACACTGATGTTTCACACTTAAGTAAAATACGGATTGTTATAAATCAGAACACTCTGAGAGTATGTTGTTATCTTTGACAGAATACCATGTACACTTTTGTACTGGCTCATTTATACACATTATGTATTTTATTGGTATTAGGTATCCTTTAGAGAAGAAAACATTGAATTTCAGAAACGCTGCATATTGTTCAGTTCATATTGTAAAAATAAATCACTTTGAAAAAGATGCTAAAAGCTGTATATATTTATGTATATAAAAGTATTAGTTTCATTTTTCAAAGAAATAATTTCTTTATTAACGTTTTGTTCCATTATGACTGAACATTTGTTAACCGGACATTGCTCAGAAATACAGCATGAAATGGACAAAATAAAATGTCCGAAGTGTTGCCTATCAGGATTTGTTTACAACATGTAGACCACTGATTAACTCATTCACCCCTGAAGACTCATTTGAACTCTTCCAATTCGAAGGTTGGAATAGTTCATTATAAAATTTTAGGGGTGAATGAGGTAATGTGCATAGTTGTAACAAATAGGTACTTTGAATATTTGTTGTGTTGACATCGGTAACCAATGAAAGGAGGAAATCGTCCGATTCTGTACCTGATCACTCACATATGTCGACAAGCCAGTACAATCGAAAGGTGGTTACCGACCATGTGGTATTGATTTCACGACACTACTACGCCTTGGCTCATCATTTTTTGGCATGGCACATATTAATTAGGAAAGATGCATTGATTTCCGGGAGAGTAGGGCCAATAGCCCGGCCCATTGATATTTTTTTTTTCTTCCATCATGGTACCTGAATACAAAATCTCAACATAGCATGTATCTCAATAACGCTACATCAGCACTTGATCATTTTGAAGTGGCTCGCATATATTTAAGAAATTGACTCTTTAGAATTTTTTGATTCAATCCAAAATTGAAATAAGTGGTTGATGCTTTGAATTTGATAGAATATGCTGAGATGGGTGCTCTATAAAATGTGTTTTGTTTTACAGATTCCTTGGCGTGTGCGTACATGAAGGACAGCTACATGCTTTAACGGAGGTAAGAATCGGTAAACCATCCATGCATCTAAAACCGGCATGCCTGCACGCATTATGTATCCCCTTGTAGCTGTTGCCTTTACTGATACCATCATACATTGCTGCAATTTTCTGGCCCCTGATCTCGGGACCTAACAGGAACTTGTACCCTGGTAATTTTCCAAAATACCACTATTGGTATAAACATCAATAATGTTTAGGACTCGGATATTGGTTACTATCTGTTCGCTATCTATGTAAATCTGTATGAGAGTTTTCAGCATCAGTTAATTTGTTTCTAGTGTGCTGGAATCTGTTCTGTTACATTTCCTGATATTCTTTAAATCGGTTAAAAAGAACTTAAATAAATCAAACGGATGAAGTAAAAAAAAAAAAAAAAATACAAAAAAATCCCACCACGGTTGTGACAGATAAAGTTGATAGTTTTAAGGATTTTTTTTTTTTTTACCAAAAAATCCCACCACGGTTGTGACAGATAAAGTTGATAGTTTTAAGGATTTTTTTTTTTTAATTGGTAGATAATTCTCTTAAAGATAAAGTTTTGAAGGAGAATCAGAGGTTATGAATTTAGCCTTAGATCTGTTGCGTTCATTTCTGATTCTATAAGGTATCTGTGTGTTTATATATATTCCTGTGTTATGAGTAAAGGCATGCTGTCCTGGACCTGTGCTCACCTTGTGTTTGAGGATAATTACAGATAACAGGTGGACTTCATGTAGGTGTTATTCTGGAAATCTGATAGATTAAGCTGGAGACGATTTCCATCAGTGCCAGGGATAGGTTTTGTATCTGGCATGAGAATAATGGAACAGTTTCATCTGCCTCGGTGGTCGTCAAGTGTGTATGCTAATGTCTGTCCATGGTGTTAATTGTAGAAAATTGTTACAGTAACTGTCTAAAGGCCCTATCAATTTGGAAAGCCTGGTTAGCTTCGTTACTGTTACTGTCAATAGTACCACTTTCCATGTAGGACAAATGAGATTGTCTTAGAACTGACTTACCTTGAAAGGACAAATTAAAGTGATTTTGTTAGAATTAATGACAGTAAACAGGTGTATGCTAACCAACAAAGTAAATGGAGATGCACTTGTTTACAAGCAATCATGCTTTTTATCCCCAACTTGACCCTTAAGGGCTGACAATTGTCATTGTCCCCCACTCTCCCTCTTGCATATTGATATTCTTTGTGGCTATGGTGATAATGGGAAATAAAAGTTCCATGGCTATAAGGGGAAATCCATGCTGCTGTTAATGTATCCAGCCATTTTGTGATCAACCCTAGCAACTGTTCAGTACCAAGTTTTTGCATACCTTGATACAAGCATTATTATAACAAGTGTTATGGTGGTGAGGCCACTCAGTGATATAAAGCCATGGTATTGGTACCATGAAAAAGGCGTAGTAGAATACTGGGAGCTGACATCATAAAGAAACTAACCAATTTTGGGCTGATTGAGGTTTTTTAAGGAGATATGTTATGTGTCTTGTCACAAAATGTTCATTAACAGATATTCAATACAATACCACTCAAAAAGATTTTGAAATATCCTCTTTATTTTCACAGTTTTCAAGTACATAATACATATGATGTAATTGATAAGTTAAAAAGTCTGCCACTGATGTGGAAACATTGAAGCAAAGAAAACTGTTACAGTAGCCATGTCCAACATAAGCTTAAATTATTACCGACCCATTGAAAACTATAACTTGTATGCCTATGACAAGTGGAACACTGAGCACTACCAAGACATTTTGCTTCAATTATATGTACACAAGTGTCATGCATCGTACTCGGTCAAACCTTACGGCTACATAGAACTTACACTATACTCGGTCAAACCTAACGGCTACATAGAACTTGCACTATACTCGATCAAACCTAACGGCTACATAGAACTTACACTATACTCGGTCAAACCTAACGGCTACATAGAACTTACACTATACTCGGTCAAACCTAACGGCTGCATAGAACTTACACTATACTCGGTCTGCAGACATACAGCAACAGAGCTAGATGCTTTGGCTCAATACTTGGTCAACTTATGGCAGAATTAACATAGACTTTAAAGTTTTGGTCACTCTACTTGGTCAGACTTAAGGCTACATAGACCTATAATTAAGTTTTGGTCAACCTACTTGGTCAGTCACACTACTTGGTCAGACTTAAGGCTACATAGACCTATAATTAAGTTTTGGTCAACCTACTTGGTCAGACTTAAGGCTACATAGACCTACAATTAAGTTTTGGTCAACCTACTTGATCAGACTTAAGGCTAAATAGACCTATAATTAAGTTTTTGGTGATCCTGCTCATGGTCAGACTTAAGGCTACATAGACCTACAATTAAGTTTTGGTCAACCTACTTGATCAGACTTATTTCAAGGCTACACAGACCTGCAATTAAGTTTTGGTCAACCTACTTGGTCAGAATTATTTCAAGGCTACACAGACCTACAAGTTTTGGTCATTGTACTTAATCAGACTTAGGCTACGTCGACCTTCAAGTTTTGGTCACCCTACATGGTCAGAAATAGGGTTGAAGAGACCCATACTTGCCAACAAATCAAACTTTCCATGGGGGAAAACCATGTGACAGTTTCTGAAATGTCAAAATATTTATAGAAGTAATTGAGTTTGAGCAAAGAGTAAGATGTGCAGATATTTTTATGATTTCAAAAGTCAACACGGTACTGGGCACCATACTCTGTCAGACAACGAAGAGCTGCTGACCTGTGTTGGAGTGGATGTGCTCAGGTGTACTCAGGTGTACTCAGGTGTAAATGGCCCCCAGTCACGATTTACTACACCACAGGTGTAAAGTACGGGACCGGATCATCTGTCACACTAAACACCTGATCACTTTACTGTTATAGCACGCATGATCTTCTTTTATACCACTAATATAATGACCATTGCATTGTGTATTAATATGTCTGTTATATTAGTTCTTGGGTCTAGATCACTCTGACCATTGTGGACAAGTGTCACATTCCTGTCTGGTTCTCAATACACACATAGGTCATATAGAAGTTAGATCAAATACCTCATACACTATTATAGTATATACTGTTTTTGATATGAAGTGCTATGCTGCATCAAGTCTTAATGATTCAGAAATGGGGCATTTATTTGCTGTGGTTCTTCCAATCGCATTGTCTATCATATAACTGCTAATATTTCACTCCAATCATTGGATAAACAAAAGAGTTTTAACTCAAAAATAGTTTTGACAAGTCCACTGAGGCCAGAAGGATATCATATTTAGAAGCTTCTCAAGTCAGAATTTAGCCCAGTAACCAATTTGTATCCAAAATTCTCTAGCCTCCGAGTGGACTGATGTCAAAATTATATTATATTGAGCTAGGTTAGAAATATGAGGTATTGATCACTCCAGATGTATCGAGATATGAAATATCATCTTCTATGACGATATGTTGAGAACATTAAGTCAAAGAGGACCGTCTAGGTTACTAGCCCTGCTCTGGGTTTTATAGAAACTACAGCACAATCCTTCTAACGAAGGACATATATCATAACATTGGAAGTTGAATGCTCGTAAATTGATTCCTGTATATTAGCCTTAATTTGATATGTATGCAGTGCAAACATTTCTTGTTGACACATAATAGGTTAATCCCGAATCAATAATTTGGAGTTAAGGTTAAATAAGGGATATAGGCCAAGTATTAACTCATTCACCCTTGAAATTTCATAATGAACTATTCCAACCTTTGAATTAGAAGAGTTCAAATGTGATTTCAGGGGTGAATGAGTAAACAGTGCCCCACCGCACACCAGTACTGTATTTAACCTTCAGTACTGCGGGCACTGATCCCAGAGATCACTGGCCCGGTCGATACTCTATCATGAAAAAGCTTATACTCATTATTGGTGACCATGATATCCATGAAATGGATGGATTGTAATACCAGCATCCCAAGGTTTATCCCTTAAGATTGAAAAATTATGTGGATAGCAAACAGCTGGTCCCTATAATATTATTTCTATCAATCTATTAGAAGTGTGTTGGTGGCTTTTGATACAAATTGTACTGTTCCATAAAGTGCTGCAATTTTTATTAGCTTCAAAAAATGTAGAATATCCAGTTGAAATTTAATCATGTTTTCACAATTATAACCATTACTATTATCCTTATGTTGTAAAGCGCCTTAGAGTAATTTTACAAATTATATAGGGCGCTATATAAATGTTGTATATTATTATTTATTATTTATTATGTATTTTTAGGTTGAAATAATGCAATTAGGATCGAATGTATATACGTAGAATATCTTGCCACATTTAGCTAATACAACTTGGTACAGAGTTTGTATAAAGTCTAGAATTTCCTTGTTGTGAAGATAAAAATTGTATAAACCCTTCAGAGTTTCCTTGTTGTGAAGATAAAAATTGTATAAAGTCTAGAATTTCCTTGTTGTGAAGATAAAAATTGTATAAAGCCTTGGTTTTTTCTTGTTGTGAAGATAAAAATAGTATAAAGCCGTAGTGTTTTCTTGTTGTGAAGATAAAAATTGTATAAAGCCTTAAGAGTTTTCTTGTTGTGAAGATTAAAATGTAAAATTATCAATTTCTAAAAATAGAGTTATAATCTTCTTGTGCTTTTGAAATTGCTGACTTTCTCAAAGTTTATTCTGAATTCAGGCTGAAACAAGAGTAAATAAGGTATCATGTCCGACGTTATTGAACTTTGATATGAAAATGCAGAAGTGACTAATTTGACTTGTAAATGTTGATTTGACCGTAATTCTCCCCTTATCATCAAACTTTATGGGGAATAAACAAATGTGTTGAGTGCTTGCAAATGTGTCCATCTGTCCTTTTCGCAAACTTTTCCGAAACATACAGATTTGATCTTCACACATACCGTAATACACTGCAGAGGGAGCATAGCTTTTTGGTAGTTTCAGCTTTATCTAAGGAATTTCTGTTAGTCTTGGAAATGGTCTCGTAACATATAGATCTATAATATGAACAGTTGGGTTATATAATTAGTTGGAGATGTTGTCGATTACATGTCGACTAAGGTTGATTAAATGTTTACGATGTTGCTGTCTATGTATTCAGTTCATGGAGCGAGGGGGGTTGAACGAGGTCCTAGCAGACAAGACCCTGGAGCTTCCGTGGACAATGAAGATCAAGATAGCCCTGGACATTTCCAATGGGATGAAGTATCTCCACTCCAGAGGGGTCTTCCACCGTGACCTCACATCCAGGGTAAGTTAGGGAATTCATTTCTGTATAACAAAGGAAGGAACAAATCAAAACTACAATATCTAAAGTCTGTTTATATTGATTTGAACAATTATTTCCTGTATCTTTATAATATTTTCTGCATAAAATCAGAAACTTTTATCCAGACTTCCCCTTCTTAATTCTGTATAGTCACAAACATAAGTATAATTAAAAAACTCCCTAAAATTTCTTTTGTTACTACTGCAACTTTCTCAAAATATTGACAGACATATATTGGCAAGTCTAGATTTCTGGACTATTGGCAAAGGGGCTATGACCAGTGCAGTGCCTGCCTGTGTTGTAATAGTAGGGCTATCATATGTCACGGAGAAGGTGATCCGTGCCTAAACATGGATATGAATATAGATTGTGTGATGAATGATAACGGGGCCAGAGGTGGCCACACAGTGTCACACCCAAGACATCTAGGTCTACAGACTTTGAATGTATTTTCATACATTTACATGGTTAAACAGTCATTTATCTACACTGACCTCAAAAGTACAGACTCTTCTTGAATTCTGTTCTTTGTTAATATTCTTCACTTTGTTATTCTTCATGAAAATGTTCTGGTTCAAATATTTCATCGCTATACCAATTATTTTACAATTCATGTGTTATTTTTGTATGTATAAAGTTTGTATATTAGAAAGTTGGCACATCACCATATTATGTTGATGAACTTGATGTATTTGACATGACACACAAAAAAAAAATCTTACTTTAAGGTTTCTATTTCCGTTTTATAACAATTGACTCATATATTTATTATGCACACATTGTACACTGACCTAGAAAAAACCTGAAGACTTCAACTTTCCTGGTATTTGTCGATAAATAGCTAGAGAACGTGTGGATATATATCTTAATGACATTTTCATGCATGGTGAGACATATACAGTCATAGCTTACTAGAGCAGTATTCAATTTAAGAAACAGACCCTTGCCAATATTATAATCCTTTTTAGTGCTGAATCGTACACACAATCAACCATGTAGTAGTTTTTTGGCATCATATAGAGGAAAGTAAGACATTTAATGTTCTGTTAGATAGTCAAGATCCGAAATTTTATTCCTTTACAATTCTGACGATGAAATTGTGCCTGAGACAATTTTCAAGGTTTGAAATAGGGTTAATAATGATATTTAACGATGTTTTATGTATATATGATAGAAGTTTGACCTATCTCTCTCTGTTTGAGAACGCTGTGTAACTACGGGTATTAGTCACAGGACCTTAGGTTGATTGTCCTTATCCAGGTCTAAGATAACACATATAGAGGTGAAATTAATTTTGAATTAGTCCCAAGTTTTAAAAGATAACAGGAGGTAAGATTGGTCTGGGTGGTGGATACGAGTCTGGTCGTAGCGGACGGGTGTAGGACACATTCCTGTGGCGTCCAGTACTGGGCCAGTGTGGTCACCAATACACAGAACCTTTATCATACATAGCTTGTTCACCTCATTCACACACTGATCCCGCAACTTTCATTCATGAAACACGCTTAGTAACACTTGAGATGGCAGAGTGAAGAAATATAGGTCTCGTTGGTGAATGGGAGATGTTTGACAGGAATGAAATTTCTGCTTGTTAGTTAGTCTTCCTTGTATAACTTATGAGTTTTCATCTTTAAGTTATCAATTCTTTTCATATCAATTATCAATTCAGTTCAACTCCAATTTCCCTGAAAGTGTCTATAAAAATATCCGAGAGCTTTAAGACTATTTCAGAGACTATTAAAATGACAATCGTTGTAAACCTTCAGCATTCTTTTTAACACATCATGGAAATAGCACTTAATCAGGTTATGACTTCACTTTCGGGCTGCTCTTAATGTAAATAACCTTCACTGTTAATTTAGATGTATAGCTGTGACGAGGAATGCCTAGGATAACTGTGGGCTGTGTGATTAACACTATAGAAACATTCTTTCCCTATTACACCGTCCCCTTACATAGCAAAAGTGTTGTATTTCTCGGACAAATTATCATGACTACGTTAATAAGAATGATATATTGAAAGCATTACTTGGATGTGATACAGGAAGTACTCTGAGTGTTGTGTTACTTTATATAACTGTCACGCTGTTGGTTACTCCACCCTATATATATATAAAACACTCCAGTGATATAAGTCTGTGTTTTTGTGTATCCCTGGTCTATGTCACCACCGTCCACAAGTGTTAAAGGTCTCTCAAGTACCAAAAAGGAATGCTGCAGACATTTGAGAATGTCTGGATGAAAATTAACTCTGCTGCACTGATATAGGTCTATATATAGGGATGTAATAGGCTCGTTTAAGTTCTGTATATGAGTCGGTAATGTCTGGATGAAGATTAATAAAAAGTCTGTATTTTAGAGACAACATTCATGATTGACAGAAATGACAGTTTTCTGAGAGTTAGAAAAGGTTCCATCTTATGTCACAATGATATTTTTCATTTCAGATTATTTTATTGTTCAGATCTTAGATACAAAGGAATTAGGCAACAGGCAAAGCCTATGAGTGCCCTTTCCTTACAGTAGTAAACAGTTTAAACATGTCATATTGTAGTGATCTGTAGGTCATTCATCAGTCAGCATTCCAGGTGTTGTTATGACCTAGATATAGAATGCGAGTTCTTTCACAATATTGATATATAGAACGTAGCTGGTTTGTTTCACATGTTACAGGTTGGTCTATAGTAGGGATTGATTTGTGTGATCAGTACTGAGTTTATATATAGGGTTATAAGTATACTACCTACCAGAAACAAACAAACAACAATGCTGGCATAAGACACACGTTTTCTACTGTTAACATATAGTTGATATTGCTAGCTGGACAGCTAGTACTTCTACCTGAACCTTTAACACCAGATATCAACCAGAAAGCTGAGATCTTTATGTGGCAAGTGGAAGGAGGGTCTAAATGTGGACAGGCTTATACCGAGATCTATAATATGGGGGTTTGGTCATGGAGAGGTCTAGATCTAGAAGAGAGAGAGAGATAGAGAGAGGAGGTTAAAACTATCAATCTGAATGAAATTTCTCTTGTAAATCTCATTTTCCAAACACTTGATGTAAAATTATTTCTGAATCATTCAGGTATATAAAAAGATTTTCCTGATAATGAAATTTCTCTTGTAAATCTCATTTTCCAAACACTTGATGTTAAGTCATTTCTAAATCATTCAGGAATAAATATTAAACGATTTTTCTGATGTTATCTACAGTTATTAACAATCTAAAAAAACTGATAGAAATCACATTTAAATTACAGTGTCTGCTGCTAGATTCCAGAATATTTCATATCCTGTAAGATCATAATCGTATTTATTGTCTCGGCTTCTCTCCTCATACGTTTTATTGAAAACTTGCTGTCACTTGTCTCCTGTGAGGTAAGCCACAGTAATTAACTTTTTTTTTTCTGACAGGAAGTCTATTAGGAGGTGACTTCTCCATGTGAATCCTCATAAGAATGGCATTTTGATTTGACTCCCTTGGATGTGGTTAAAATTCCCACTAACCCAAGGTGTCTGTTGTATAGGTATTTAATTTTCTTCTATCTTGATGACTGTATTGTCACAGGAATGTTAGACACGACCTATATGTCTATACTGCCGCTAGTTGAACAAAGAAACCACACTAGAACACTTTTGTGACTATGATAAACTTCCTATATGTCTGGAAATTTGGTTTTTTCCCCCCCTTATTGAATGTATTGAACATGATCTGTAAGTATTGGTTTTTTGTTGCCAGCCAGAAAAAGAATTCAAAAGAAAAATGATTGAACTAATTTTATTAAATTGAAAGAAACTCCATATTGTACTTTATTTGGGAAATCCATTACAGTTGATTTCAATTTAAATATAAGTGTCCTGTAAATTTTAATAACGACCCAAAATTTCCATTCATATGAAAACATGAAGTGTCGTGAAGTGCGACAATATTGTTTCAAAATTTACACCTAGACAAACTCTGATTGGTTGATGTTAAAGTCCGGGTTTCTTCTGATTGGTTGATATCTAGGTGAGGAAGCTGTGAGTTGATGGACCGGTCATGATCACCGGAATATCCTCTCAGCATTTGAAGTACACAGGTTTTGCTGTGACACACTTTGTCATCTGTTAAATCTGAATGACACTTACATACGCTTATGTGTATTGTACAAGAACAAACCACTCAGACAGATTTAGTTTCAAGTATCCAAGTTTAAACTTCAAAAGAACCAGTTATTTATAATTGACTTATTTCCTTATACAATTAGTTACGCATATATATTATAACAATTTAATTAGTATTTGGTTGAAGCAATTCAAAATAAGAAAAAAAAATCCGTCACAACATATATTAATGTAATTTTGGACCGGTTTTGACTTGCTTGGCAACTTAGGATAGGTTGTGGTTGTATAGGTATAATTATACCAGTTTTGTATAGAGTATTGAAGTTTCATTGCAAAACGTATACTACATATTTAATATGTGTATCTAAGTTTAAAAAAAAAAAAAGAAAAAGTCTTTTGAAATCAGGTTAATTGTAGCTTGGTGATACAGCAAAAGTAGGTCACCTCTTTTCATGTTGTTATGCGGGGATACTTCAGGCTCATAACAAACCTTCAGCACACTTCAATAGTCGTCAACAAACCTTAGTGTGGTTATAGGGTCTGTCGGGACAATAACCCCTTGGTACTTTCACTAAGTGCCTAACCTACTTGGCTAAATAGTAATTCAGGTGTCGTAATGATTATAGATAACTCACCAGGGAACAGCCTCCCTGGCATCACACACCTGTTTATGTCAAAAACATACACCTGACACTAGTTATCTACCGGTAATATTCACTTCAACAGAATTTAACCTATCAGGAGTACCTTAGTCCTATACGCATGGAAATACAAACAGGAATACTTATTATAATGTATATAACACAGCTTATAAAGTGTTAACACTTCTTCACAATCTTTGTTGCAAAAAATATGCTAAAGTTGTGGAACTTGCGCTGTCAACAACACAGTCAATTGCAGTGTTGTTAACATTGTGACCCAACGTTACAGACTAGGTTACATATAGCTGTGGTTCGCGTTAGAGTTATCTCCCCTTTTAATTAGCATTAATGATAGCCTAGAATTACCATTCATAACAGTTAACTTACAGGTTTCCTAAATATGAGACTCTTATATAAAGGAGGTAATTTGTCCCAGTAAGGTAGCATACATCCTTAACACTGTTTTCACACTGTAACGTTATACCTGATTTTGATTGTCATCATCATCTATTTTATATCAACATCCAACAATCTCTGACTGTCAGTGTCTATTGTTTCTGATCTAGACTGTGACTGTAACATGACTACCTGCTTTAACTTGACTGATACATTTTGTGGTGTGGTTTCCAATGCACGCTTTACTTGAGACCTAAGTTCAATGTAGAACGTAGAAAGTGTTTTTGTTTTTTTCCTCCAGAAGTCTGGTATTGATAACATCAACCTTAATGTTACTTTGTGTTTGTCGTAGAATGTGCTGGTGTGTGGTGATGAAGGGAACCTGAATGCAGTTGTGGCAGACTTCGGGTTGGCAGCCAAGATACCAGATCCTCTGTAAGTACACTGAATGTATACCTCTCTAGAGAGACCATGCTTATACACATATATTCTCAAAAGATGTCATGTTTATACATACCTGTCTAGATAAGCCATGTTTATACACAGACCTGTCTAGTAGACCATGTATATACACATATACCTGTCTAGAGAGGCCATGCTTATACACATATATCGTCTAATGAGACCATGAGTCTAATAAGCCATGTTTATACACAGACCTGTTTAGATAGACCATGTATATACACATATACCTGTCTTAGAGAGGCCATGCTTATACACATATATCGTCTAATGAGACCATGTTTATACACATATACCTGTCTAGAGAGGCCATGCTAATACACAAACCTGTCTAGAGAGGCCATATTAATACACATATCGTCTAGAGAGGCCATGTCTATATACATATCGTCTAGAGAGGCCATGTTTATACACATATCGTCTAGAGAGGCCATGCTTATACACAAACCTGTCTAGAGAAGTCATGCTTATACACATATCATCTAGAGCGGCCATCTGTATATACATATCGTCTAGAGAGGCCATGTTTATACACTTATACCTGACCTGTCTAGAGAGGCCATGTTTATACACATATCGTCTAGAGAGGCCATGCTTATACACATATCGTCTAGAGAGGCCATGTTTATACACATATCGTCTGGAGAGGACATGTTTATATACATATCATCTAGAGAGGCCATGTTTATACACATATCGTCTGGAGAGGACATGTTTATATACATATCATCTAGAGAGGCCATATTTATACACAAACCTGTCTAGAGAGGCCATGCTTATACACATATATCGTCTAATGAGACCATGTTTATACACATATACCTGTCTAGAGAGGCCATGCTTATACACATATATCGTCTAATGAGACCATGTTTATACACATATACCTGTCTAGAGAGGCCATGCTTATACACATATCGTCTAGAGAGGCCATGTTTATACACAAACCTGTCTAGAGAGGCCATGCTTATACACAAACCTGTCTAGAGAAGTCATGCTTATACACATATCATCTAGAGAGGCCATCTGTATATACATATCGTCTAGAGAGGCCATGTTTATACACTTATACCTGACCTGTCTAGAGAGGCCATGCTTATACACATATTGTCTAGAGAGGCCATGTTTATATACTTATACCTGTCTAGAGAGGTCATGTTTATACACATATCTGTATAGATAAGCCATGTCTATACACAGACCTGTCTAGATAGACCATGTATATACACATATACCTGTCTAGAGAGGCCATGCTAATACACAAACCTGTCTAGAGAGGCCATATTTATACACAAACCTGTCTAGAGAGGCCATGTTTATATACATAAAGTCTAGAGGCCATTTTTATACACTTATACCTGACCTGTCTAGAGAGGCCATGTTTATACACATATCGTCTAGAGAGGCCATGTTTATACACAACCCTGTCTAGAGAGGCCATGCTTATACACATATTGTCTAGAGAGGCCATGTTTATATACTTATACCTGTCTAGAGAGGTCATGTTTATACACAGACCTGTCTAGATAAGCCATGTTAATACACAGACCTGTTTAGATAGACCATGTATATACACATATACCTGTCTAGAGAGGTCATCCTTATACACATATATCGTCTAATGAGACCATGTTTATAAACATATACCTGTCTAGAGAGGCCATGCTAATACACAAACCTTGTCTAGTAGACCATGTATTTACACATATTGTCTAGAGAGGTCATGTTTATTCACTAATACCTGTTTAGAGAGGCCATTCTTATACACAAACCTGTCTAGATAAGCCATGTTTATACACAGACCTGTCTAGTAGACCATGTATTTACACATATACCTGTCTAGAGAGGCCATGCTTATACACATATATCGTCTAATGAGACCATGTTTATAAACATATACCTGTCTAGAGAGGCCATGCTAATACACAAACCTGTCTAGAGAGGCCATGCTTATACACATATATCGTCTAGAGAAGCCATGTTTATACACATATCGTCTAGAGAGGACATGCTTATACACAGACCTGTCTAGAGAGGCCATGCTTATACACAAACCTGTATAGAGAGGCCATGCTTATACACATATTGTCTAGAGAGGCCATGTTTATATACTTATACCTGTCTAGAGAGGTCATGTTTATTAACAGACCTGTCTAGATAAGCCATGTTTATACACAGACCTGTTTAGATAGACCATGTATATACACATATACTTGTCTAGAGAGGCCATGCTTATACACATATATCGTCTAATGAGACCATGTTTATAATCATATACCTGTCTAGAGACACCATGCTAATACACAAACCTGTCTAGAGAGGCCATGCTTATACACATATCATCTAGAGAGGTCATGTTTATACACTAATATCTGTTTAGAGAGGCCATGCTTATACACAAACCTGTCTAGATAAGCCATGTTTATACACAGACCTGTCTAGTAGACCATGTATATACACATATACCTGTCTAGAGAGGCCATGCTAATACACAAACCTGTCTAGAGAGGCCATGCTTATACACATATCATCTAGAGAGGCCATGCTTATACACAAACCTGTCTAGAGAGGCCATGTTTATACACATACCGTCTAGAGAGGTCATGTTTATATACATATCATCTAGAGAGGCCATGTTTATACACATATCGTCTGGAGAGGCCATGTTTATACACAAACCTGTCTAGAGAGGCCATGCTTATACACATATCATCTAGAGAGGCCATGTTCATACACATATCGTCAAGAGAGGCCATGTTTATACACAAACCTGTCTAGAGAGGCCATGCTTATACACATATTGTCTGGAGAGGCCATGTTTATATACATTTCATCTAGAGAGGCCATATTTATACACAAACCTGTATAGAGAGGTTATGTTTACTATATCTTAGTCTTGCACAGACACCATGCTTACAATACCATTCACCTGTCTAAAGTAACCTTATTTATAGCACCATAGCCCTGTTAGGAGAGACAACGATCTGATTTAGTGTTGTAATTTTACACAGCATTACCACCATTTTGTTCAGAATCAATACCCCACCCCCTACGCATACTTCCCTACAATGGTACCTAACAGCCGCTATACCGTCAGTAACAAAACACCCACACACTGGGCCTCAAGCTTTTTGACATTATATTTGGAACTAGTTATATAAATACAGTGTCGTAATGCTATTTCAAGTTATTTTACCGTTTAGATTTGATTTGGAAACCTATCACATACAGATAGTTTTGTTCTGAAGATATATATAATTATGTTAGCATTGCTGCAGTAGTGGCGGGGGGTATGAAAAAGATTTCCTATAGATTTGTGAATCGTATAAAAACTTCACATATGTCATGGTATGGAAAAGCTGTATAACAATTTTTGAGTAATACGTAGTTATGGCCCTTTATTATTCCTCCAGCACATTGAACCTTATATCACAATTTGTAGGAAAACAAATTGAGCAAAGGAAAACAATTGCATGTTACTTTCAGTTAAATTCAGTTAGGAGTTGCTGTAATTGAATCTTTGCAGTTCAAATACCAGTAATTTACAATGAAATTTCATTGCTGATGACATATATTTCCTGTTCACCAATATGTTGTGGGTTTATAATGTTCCATTATGTGTGTGTGTGGTCTTGTTATAATTATATACCATAAACAAACTACTGTATTGGTAGGTAGTCCTACTTTAGCTCTTAGATCAGCTGTTGAGCTAAATAATAAAAGCAAAAACATAAATAGTGATTTATTTCACATACTTCACACCGGGAAGCTTTTTGCCTAGTTAAATTTTTGCCCTACGACAATAAAATCCATTTTCATCCAATATTGAATTTGGCCTTCACATTTAATTACCATGTATATCATGTTGTTTTCAAAAGTTTGCTGTAATGATAAACTCACCCTCATTACGGAGGGTTAAAAAGGCGAAAATTAAACTGCAGTGACATTTTCCCCAGTATACAGTATTATTAGTGCGCCAATTCTTCATTGTGCTAAACCAATAAAAAATGTTATGATACATGTATGCGAAATTCTGAACTTGCTAAAATATATACATTTACAATAATAGACCTTAGTATCTGACTGTACAGGTAGAAAGATAAGGTTTTATACAGATATAAAAGAGTAGCTGCTGGACTTTCTACACTTAGTAGACATAACACAATAGTGTATCTGTATTTTGATCTGTCTAGCCTGGTTTACCTGTTAAGTGTGTTGCCTAACATCTATTGTATATGACCTTTTATGTTCTGGATTGGAGGTCAATTTGGAGGTCAAGCTGACATCCTTATATGGGCAATAGGTGTAATCATTCCATAATCACCTACTTGCTAGGATTGCTGTGGTAATGAAGTCCTATCACCAGTAGATCAGCTGTATGATGGATGTTCATTTGTCAACTTCCTATTGCTATAGTCCTGATGGCTGTACCTACATATAAATACTGTCAAATATTTCCTTCTGGTGGCAATAGGTATAAATGTTTCGCCATAATGATATCTATATATATACATGTGCTATAATTGTGTTTTAATAGCATCTCAATGTCTAAATTGAAGTCTGCCATGGCCTTGGGTGTTAAAAAATTGTTTGCATTTAAAATTCCTATCAAATGGCTAAAGGCATGAAAACAGCTATTGATAAATGATGATTACTAGAGAGAGAAAATAGAATTTGTACAGTGAAATGGCTTTCAGAACAAAAAAAGTGATTTTGCATTGTTAAATTAGTAGTATTGGAATGATATAGGTATCTTTTGCAAATTTCTCAAAGGAGACGAATTTCAATTACATAATTAGGTGCCACAGTAATCAATAAAGTTTGAAACTGACGGAGTTTTTATTATCCAATTTCAACAATTTGAAAATAGTTTAGGATGATTGCTGTATTCTGACAGCTTTAAAAAAGAAATGAAGTGAATGATAGACTTTATCAGTCTAGATTTTTTTTCAAAAGGTCATTTTGAAATGTGCTTGAAAGTTTTAGCCGATATTTTGAGTTAGCAGCTAGTTTCCACATAGAGGGAAAGTGAATACCTCTTATATGTATGGTATCATAAAGTACTGGTTTAAAATGATGGACAGTGATCATGATGTCTCCTTATTTGCTGCTAATCTCAATCAACACTTCTAGGAGATGTTATGTTCCACTTCAGAAAGGTTAGATGATGTGGGAAGTGTGTATAATCGACTATAGGTTTGACATATATTGGCCAGACTAGGTCATCAGCCAGACAGTGGTGGGGTTTTATCTGTAGTGAGGATATACAACGGGGCTGTAAATAAAGGGATTAACATATCAATGGCTACGGATAGATAGACTGGGTCAATCAGATGATTTGATTACCCCGTTGTCATTATTAGGCTGTCCTGGGGCTGACGTATTAGTGTCCACTTTCTCTGATAAGGACAACAGACATTGTATACCAATCATTGTCTCTGTGTGAGGTGCATGGTAAAAACTATCAACCTTATACCTAGGGGATATTCTGTAACTGCAGGTAGATAATAAAAGATGTATATAATTAGACAAATGCCCTGCAATCATAATCAATATTATATTAATTGTTATCAAATGGATGAAGATCTAAATGTGATAATTTAAAATGTCCCTTGTCCTAAATGCAGTGCTCGGGGCTAGTACGTTTTACAGCAGGGCTAGTGAAAATTTTCAGTATTTAAAATGAAAAAACTTGCAGGCTGGGCTTGTGGAAATTTTCAAAATATGAAATTGTACACCCCTGAAATGATGTAAGAGCCCAATTTATTTGTCAACTGTATAAGGCGGATCTACTTATAAGTTAGATATCACCATAATCTCCATATTTATAATATCCTGTATAAAGTTATATACAGCATAAATGTTCTAATTTAAGACAGATTTTAAAATCTAGAAAGTTCTTGTTATCTTAAACCGTGATACAGAGAGTGTGTAAACAGCAGTATCCTATTTATAACTTGGGGAGTCTTTGACTTATAGACCCTTAGTAGATTGTTACAATACGATCACTTGACCACTTGGTACGACACTCCAGCTGTTTATACTCGACAGATTGTGTATCAAGTGTTTAGGTGATAATGAACACTTATAACATAACCTATATGACCTGAAGGTATATGCGTCATTGTCAACACCTCATTGTTTATATTTATATGTATGAGTAGGTATTTGTAAACATGGCTGTTAACCCATATATTAATGGTGCTTACTTATGAAGTATCTGTCTAGCCCCCCCCCCTCATCACTCATCAACAAAATACAACCGTCATTGAGAGGTGTTGAGTGTTCTGTTATTAGTCTGTAGCTCAGTTTTAGTCATGAAATTACATATGACTGGAAATTTCCTTTTATTGATATATTTGAATTAAAATCTGGAAGTTTGAGAAATTCATGAACCTTTTTCTATAGTTTTTCAGATGATAAGCAAACTTCAATGTCTAGTTATAAGAGAAAAGATTAGAAACAGCCATAGTGGTAGTATTGGTAGCATGGACAATTCGGGTATATAAGGGAGGTTACTTTAGTGTGATGGTACAAATATTATAGGTTTATAGAGGGAGGTAACTTTGGAGTATTGTGATAAAAGTGAAGGTTAATTAGCAAGACATTTAAGTTTTATAGTTTAACAGTAGAGCCGATTCAGGTATATAAGGCAGGTAACTTTAGTGTGATGGTACAATGTTTTAGGTTGATAAAGAGAGGTAACTTCAGTGTGACAGTATTTATGATTCAAATTTATTTGCAAGGTAACTTAAGTGTGACAGTACAAATGTTTTAGGTTGATAAAGGGAGATAACTGTAGTATGACATTTCTTAACGTTTTCTTCAGGTTGGTAAGCATGGATTATGAATACTACTGTAGTATGACAGTATTCATGATTCAGAATTATTAGGGCGGTTACTTAAACCCATTTACCCCTAAAGACACAAGATACAAAGGTTGGAATAGTTCATTGAGAAATTTCAGAGGTGAATGAGTTAAATGCGACGATATAAATGTTTGAGGTTTATGAAGGGAGGTAACTATGTAATGTGATAGACCAGAGGAGGTTATTATAATTAAGGAGGTGACTCTCACAGTACAGTTACGGAATCACGCGTGCTATCTAGAGATGTCGTGGCACATTTTCAAGAACATAAGAGGAACAGCCTGTTATCTGTGGTGCAATCTGTCTTAACAAGTTGTTACCTCCTTTTTACACCGCCTGATTACAAACTAAACTGTTATTGTTGACACTATAGGGAAACTGCAGGTATTTTTGTAGCTCTAAATTTACTTTCGCAGTGTAAGCACTTGGCTGTTTTCCAGACATTCACCGTGGTACAACACTTACTGTGTAGTCTAGGCACATTCCGGAATAAGTCACTTCTTGGTGCAAAGGCATTTTCTCTCCATTATCATCACAGTATCAAATGTAGTTAGAAGGATATTCAAGTTTATAATAAACCTGACATAAAAAATAAATTCACATGTAGAAATATTTACCAGGACAGACCACCGCACCCCTTTCACCAGAGTCGGAGTGTGCTACCATGTCAAAATACTCTCTTGAGATTGTACTTCGATATGATGAACGTTTTCATTGAAATTTGAGATTGTATTGTGATATGATGAATATTAACATTAAAATCACAGGCCATACAAAAGTTAATTGTTAATGATTGTCCTTGTGTATTGTGCAGGTGTTTCATAATGCTTATAGGCAGTTAACTTTACCACCAATATGTAATATTTTCATAATCTATATCATTAGTTATGCATGTGTATTGACTTATAAAATCTGTCAACTGTGGAAAATATATAACTATATACACTGTGTTGTCTCTTTGAACAAGATACTTTACTCCGCTTGTTCCAGTCTACTCAGCTGTAAATGAGTATGTGATTGGGCAGTGCTAGAATTGTTGAATGCTAGCTGTTAACGCCGAAATGGCATCTCCGGCTGTATGCTCCTCAGGGAGTTGAAAAAGATATTGGCTGGTTGCAAAGGCTCTATAACCACAGATAATAATTTGTGAACTGCTTTGAGACGACCTACAAACTAGTTTGTGATAAAGCAGTATATACAAACCTCGAATTATCATTTCATTTTAGTATTCTTTTGTAATGTAGTATGTCGTGTACACTAAAACAGTCACCCATATCCTGAGACACAACATTTACTCAGTATATTTTCATGTCTATGCCTTAATACCAAGCCTTTGAAGCCAACAGTAATTGTTTGCACAGTGTGCCTAGGTTGATGACATTTCAATAGAATTATCATCAAACTTTGTCTTGCATTCACCTCTCGAGTGATGTGCTGTAATCAGAACCCTTTGATACAGGCACAGTAGAACCCAGCTCCTTGAAACTTACAACCATGAATTATCCAAGGTATTGCACCTGTCTTCATTCATTATTAATACTGTACTAATTGTATTTACAGAGACAAGGATAACTGTCTTCCCATTGTGGGATCTCCCTACTGGATAGCCCCGGAGGTGCTGCAGAACAAGTGGTATGATGAAAAGGTAATATATATATATTTGTTGCCTTTCTGTTTAATAAAAATGTAGCTATTTCTTGTTCCATTGTGAACAAATTTTATTTGAAAAAAAAATGTATCTTTTAAAAGAATATTTAATCATTTATGATGCTACTAATATCTAAATAAGAAGACGAAAAAAAAATGTTGAAAAAATATTCAACGTTTACATGCTTGACTTGTCTTATATCTGCAGGCCGATTTGTTCTCTTATGGAATCATCTTGTGTGAAGTAATAGCCAGGATAGACGCTGAACCAGAAATACTCCCTCGAACACAGGTACGCTTACCAGGCTTTTAACAAGGATATTTAATTATGTCAAATTATATTACCTGTGGTTTTAAAATGAACTACTGCAGGCTTATAATTATATACCTGAAAGGTCACTTTAGTGTTGACTGTATGGTTTCTGTTTATAAAATATCCTGAATAAATATAATGTACATGTTCCTATGTGCTTGACTTTATGAGAAATGGTTGTTAAAGTGGTGCAGTAAAATATGTTTTGCCTGTTACAGAACTTTGGACTGGACTATGTGGCGTTCAGTGAACTTTTAGACTATTGTCCCTTGGACTTCCTGCGTCTAGCTTTTACCTGTTGCCATGTAAGTCACCTGTCTCAGCGGAATAATATAATAAACTATATTTATTGCCCATGCCTATAGTTGACATATTACTGTTGGTATGGTTGGTTGGGTAGTGCAGTGGATAGCACACATGTACTTCACCAATACGGCCGGGGTTCGAATCCCTGATCACACATGAAAAGGTATGGGGTTTGACGGGACGGTCACCTGCCTCACCATGTGGGTTTCTCTGGATACGCTGGTTTCCTCTCACATTAAGAGTGAATAATATAAGTTGAAATAAACTGTTTTCAAAATTGTCATAAAAGTTTATATTACAGTTCTTATGAAAACTAGATAAACATGCTATTAATTATTGTACAACCAGGTCCTCAATTTGTCTTGAAAAAGTGTTCAAGTAATGTAGCTATTGCCAATGATGATTGTTATAAGAATGTGTATAAGATTCTCTGATATAAAGATGGTGATCTTGGTTTCTTGACGAACACAAATCATATTTCATCAGTGGAGTGAATAGGTTGACATTTTCACAAGTGTGTAGTATAAGTGCAAATGTGAATAATTTAACCAAAACACCAAGAATATTCTGGTTGTAATGCTTTTCTTTATAAAATAATGCCAAATTATTGAGACGAGGAATGCTGTATGGCCATGTCATAATAATTAAACGCCAGGGCTATTGTGACATCAGTACATGTAGCCAATTTTTTTTTCATCAGTTTTCACACTAAACCCTGCTTTCTGGTTGGTAGGAACAAAGCGATTTTATATCACAGTAGGAAATCTTATATTTCAGCGTTAAAAAATCGATAAAACAAAGTAATAACATTGGAGGAAGGGAGGTAACTCTATTACAATTATTTCCACAGATGGATCCGTTGAGAAGGCCAGTTTTTGCCGAGATAGTCATATCTAACGAGCAACTCCTAAGAAACCTGGAGGAAGACTGTATGATAGGAAATGGAAATGGTGAGACTTTTATGTCTGCTTGAACAATTTGCATCAATATTTACAGATATAAAAACAAGATAATTTGGATAATTTGTTTCTTCGATGTTGATAGTGTTTGGTATTGTGATTAAAACTGATAATAAAATCAGTAGAAAAAATATACTGAAGGTATGCTTAAGTATCGGTAAAAAGAAAAGTTGTGCTTTCATTTGATACAGATTTTATTAAACGTTATGACGTTTATGATTTTTATGTGCTATTGTTGTAGGTGGGTTTAAGCGACCAGGCCACAAGCGGTCGATGTCGGAGGACAACATCTTACAACTGTCAGGGGAGGAAGTGATAGATCCTGGGGACTTCCTCACCTCCCTCACACCCCAGGTGGTGCTGGGGGAGGCGATGAGTAAGGACGATCAGTTTTACTCGCCTGCTCTCTCAAATCCATTTGTTGGCTTTCAACAGTTTCTTGAAAGGAAAATTCTAGGAACTCCAAGCGGAAAACAGTCCTTTGGTTTTGAATTGCCATCTCCATCGAATGCTTTCACCCCTCCGTGTAGCCCCTGTACGCCTGACCCCTACTCTGGTCGCCATAGGAACAAATCGGGGCCACAGAGCCAGTCGCTGCCTTCATCACCAGTGTTGCTGAGGAAGGCAGCGGAAAGACTACACCAGGAATCTATTCATGGCTCAGCCTCCCGCCGACACTCGATGGCTCCCTCCAAATTCACGTTCAACCAGAGATCAAAGAGCACTGTGTTTCCAGAGGTTCTTGCGTACAGGCTACAGACCGAGTTGGCAGGGAGTCTTGAAAAAGGTCTCGCCTCCCAGTCCGAGATATGTGATAATGACGTAGACAATGACTATAGAGGGACAAACAGATCCAGTCCACAGCGACCGAGGAGGAAGCTGTACACAAGTAGACAGCTAAGTGTGGACTCTCCGTTCTACGGTCCAGGAGACTCGGGGGAACACAGGTTTGAACTTGGGGGCGGTGGGGACGCATGTAATGTCACTGTCAACAGCTGGAACAACGGCCTCCTGGGGTCCAATCACGACTTGCGTGACTATGTGTCTTCAATCAGCTCAACAGAGTCGTTCATGTCGATTGACGAGAGTTCAGTGACGCCCGTCAGTCCCGTGTCTGAGGGGAGTTACCAGGACATATTTTCTTCCAAAAAGGAAAAAGTGAATAGGTGTTCCAGGTCATCGAGTGAGGACTCTATGGAGAATGTACGACAGGGAGGACGCGAGCGACAAAGGCGAGTGATGGAGACGAAACTCTAACTTGTGTAACAAATAAAGTGGTTCCTCAATGATCTGTAGTCCGGAATCCATACTATGGTGCCAACATAAAGAAATCGGCTTTATGATTGATGAACTTTGTGTGTCCAGAATGTGCATCATTATGGATAATTTGGTTGGAAACAGAACAATCTCATTTGACAAATTATCGCTGTATTTTCTGTTCAGTAGATCTAAAGATAACACAGTTTTTTTTCCTCTGCTTTATTAACAGTGTTTAAACAAGGCAAGTTAATTCCATTTCTGATTTGAGTATTGTTTAGTGTTCCTATTTCTGATCATTAAAATCTAAATCGTCCACAGAGGGTGACACTACCCTGTGATATTGCCGTTCATCAAAACTTCTGTAGTTCATAGATATCCGGATACCAGAATGTTCAAGTTTATAAAACTGCCTTTTGTGTATATATTTGTGTACTAGTACATGTGTGATATGCTATGTAAGTAGTATGTATATGTGAGAGTGCGAATGTACTAGGTTATAATTCTGAGACACAGCTGAATTCTTTTTAGCTTTTGGTATGTGCAGCCATTTAATGTTCAAATTAAAATATGCTATTCTGTTGCTGTTTTTTTGGATGAACTGTTATGATTATGAATTTAACGAAATATTTTTGGTTCGGGTCTTGTTTGATTAAAAATCAATTTTAGTCAGCAGTACATGCAGTATGTTAATAGTTTTTGAAGGAAAGTTAAATTGCGTTTAGAATAATGTGCAAAAAAATTCTATGACAGATTGCATTAGCATTAAAAATTATGATTAACAAGAGTATATTTATTTGTATGCCATTAATTCTGGAACCGAGTAATGCTGTAATCTATGAATTTATTAGAATTATGAGTGAAATTATATTGGTGATCATTAAATGGCAGCTAGAGACTATGGATAATTTTGATATTAGTCTTGAAGATAATAACAGATGCTATTATGTGTGTTGATATCAACATTGTGTAAATAAATGTTTTCTGTACGACATATTGTTATGATTCTCTGCAATATGAAGGGTGGCGTGTGTATGCCGGGCTGTTGAGTATTTAAAGCTATATCGAGTGTGTGGCGTGATAACTGTTACAAGGTTAGGTTGTGATGAATGCATTTGATTATGCGTTTGGCAGTTTTGTGATTTTTTGATTTTTTTTCATTTCTCAAAACCAATTTGTTATTTGTTATTAATTCTTTAAGTCGTTTTCTTTTTGTACTTGTAGGTGCCATTAGTGTTTTTCACAATCATGTTCAATCCTTTGTGTTCTTTTTACAGTTCTTTATTTATATTTATTAAGTTATTGTCATATTCATGAAAAAAAAAAGCAATCTCGTGTTCACGAATAAGTTCTCTTAGATTGGTAAACTTTGCATATGACTTTCTACATTGCTTGCTTCCTTCTGTCATTTGTCATTTGGACTTTTAGAAAAAGTGAAATTATGATATTTCTCCTCTTGCTTAGTCAGGTTTGCCATCCCAACAATGTAAATTGATGCCAATGTAAACAGGAGCATTTTATTTAAACGATTAGAAAATGCCTCAGTATTTGAATATTTTATGCAAATAGATGAAATATACATTTCTGCATAGGCTGGTTAAGTGAATCTATTTTTAAAGAAAGCAATTCTGTTTAGGAAAAGAAAAGAAAAATATTAACATTTTTTTTGTACTGAACCCCAATCCTCGGCCCCAGGTTAAAAATTGCACTTACCAGATACATTAAAGGATCACCTTACCATTGCCAAAAACTGTAACTACGTATAGAAAATTTGGCATGATTATAGTTTTGATAAATCATTTCTGAAAAGAAAACAAACCTTCCAGAACTGTTAAAAAAATAGAATTGAAATTAAAAAAATATAATCAACAACAGTGTTCTGATTGTAAAACTTCAGTTGGGCTAGACCTGGATTCGAACCCTGGACTTCAGATTGTTAGATTGTTGCTCTAACCCAATGAGCTATTTGATAAACAGAAGTGACCTGTTCCAATGGTGCTTTAGATATATCTGAAAGCGAAACTCGGAGGGAAATAACTATTTATGCAAGAAACACAGTGGGATTCTGTAGCTATAATGAGACAGTTATTAAAGTGCATTTTTTTTAACCTGGGGCTTAGAATGACTGAACCAAAACCCAAATGATTTGTTGCATTTTGAAAATAACCATGTATTATTTGAATTTAGGGACTTGATATCTCGAATTTCTGTCTCCGAATGGAATCATTTCTGGCCAAAATTGGATACTGCCTGTGTTATCAATGTTTGTTAGGCACTACTGTTTGCCGTACGAGGTTGTATCTTGATTGTATGTGTATTGGTACATTGTATCAGCCATTTATTATAGAATACAAAATTTCGCTGTTAAAATATAGAGAATCATAAAATGTTTTCACTTCTTTCAATGTTTAATTTTAAAAAGTAGTTAGATATTCTTCTAAAGAAGTTCTGATAGAAAAAATAATTGAATGAATTCAACAGTTGTGTGTGAGTTAAGTGTCCTAGATTTGTGAAAAACATTTTTGTTTGAGGAGAAATATATTATCTTGCAGTATTGATTATCAAATTTGTAAATATATGATTTTAATTGATGTATAAGAACTGTAACATAAATATTCAAAGATTTTTTTTTGTCTACATTTGTTAAAAGTTTTAAAACAAGACTATATTTAGGAGACTGAGAGTATCCATTATATATATATCTCTGTTGTTGTTGACGCTCTCCCTGCTAAACATTCCTCAGTTACTTCAGTGATGGTGATACTTTAACCATATAGCCACTCTCCAGATTGTTTTTCAAGATTTATTGTAAAAATACTACTTAATGACATATATGTTAAGGTTTATTATATTTTATTTATTGATTACTTAATTATTTTCTCATATAACAGAATACATATCTCGCTCGCTGTATTAACTCATTCACCCCTGAAATTTCATAATGGATTATTCCAACCCTTTGGATTGGAAGAGTTCAAATGTGACTACAGGGTGAACGAGTTAAACAGTACCTGTTATGAACCTGATGGCAGTAAATGATCTATAACTAATACATGTACCTGCAATTGAGTGCTCTACTTAATGTTACTCTTTAAATGGCATCTACTGTTCATTGAATTGCAAACATGTTTTCGGTGGTACCTACTAAATTGCATATTGTCTGTATCATACATGTCTTTGATAAATGTGTTAAATGTGTCATAGTGCTTTACGCATGTTAAATGGCACATAAATGTACAGAATGGTCCCTCTTACCTGTCCTATTGGTATATAGAAGTCTTAAAACACAATATAGGTCTGAACAACTCAATCTTACCACTGCTGTAAGAGTCTGGCCACTTCCTGTAAGAGTCTGGATACTTCCTGTAAGAGTCTGACTACTATCTGTAAGAGTCTGGATACTTCCTGTCAGAGTCTGACTACTTCCTGTAAGAGTCTGGATACTTCCTGTAAGAGTCTGTATACTTCCTGTCAGAGTCTGGATACTTCCTGTTAGAGTCTGACTACTATCTGTAAGAGTCTGGATACTTCCTGTCAGAGTCTGACTACTATCTGTAAGAGTCTGGATACTTCCTGTCAGAGTCTGACTACTTCCTGTAAGAGTCTGGATACTTCCTGTAAGAGTCTGTATACTTCCTGTCAGAGTCTGGATACTTCCTGTTAGAGTCTGACTACTATCTGTAAGAGTCTGGATACTTCCTGTCAGAGTCTGACTACTATCTGTAAGAGTCTGGATACTTCCTGTCAGAGTCTGACTACTTCCTGTAAGAGTCTGGATACTTCCTGTTAGAGTCTGACTACTTCCTGTAAGAGTCTGGCTACTTCCTGTAAGAGTCTAGCTACTTCCTGTAAAAGTCTGACTACAATGTACTTTCTTTGAAATCCTGACTACTTCCTGTGAATTTTGATTACTCTCAGTTATGTTCTTTTTACATCTTGAGAAAGTCTTGACTACTCCCAGCCAAATTCTGACTACATCCTCCTTGCATTCTCCATATAAAAGTCTGATTATTCATGGCGAAAGTTCTACTTCTACCTGTAGAGTCTTATCTATAAGTCTTAATTGTCCTCTAAAGACATTGTCCCTGATTCAAAAAGCTCTCTCTACCTCGCAGCCTGTACACAATGGTCCCATTACATTTGCACCTGCTACCTGACAACTCCCTGTACATGTTTACTTTCCTGATAACTGTATGACTAGCTACTACTGCTTAATGTAAAAGTCTCCAGTCTCAGATGTATTAGTCTTTTTAATTCGTAACCAGTACATCATGTCTTGTTGCCTGCTGCTTGACAACTCTCCGTAAATCTTACTTCCTCTGGTTGCTTGAAGTCTGTAGAAACCGATTTCATCTACCTCACAGCCCAGTACACAATTTGTTTTAGGATTATTCTCTACCTCACCTCCTTTGATTGAGCTATCCATATATGGTGTTCATTACATTTCCTCGAACATGAAATTAAGAGGCAAGATCAGGGCACATTTGTGTACATTTATCATGTTCATATTGGTTCCCCTAGAAAAATAGTTAAATTGACATTGTCGTTTGCGTGAATTAGACAATGATTGTAATGAACATTGGTTTAAGAGAACCTATTTTGAATCTGGAAGATTGGCTTCAGTAATAAAAAAATCCTTATTTCAAAGTTTTCACATGTAGAAATGTTGGTTAGCTTTTTCTTTGGTTATGTATTGTTTATCAGTTGTCTCCCCTGTCTTAAACCCATCTTTCAACTGATTAGAAAACAGTATATTGTATCTACTCCTTACGTAGGGCTGAAGGATATACTCTAGCTATTGTACATACAACCAACACCGTGCTACACGATTCATTCTATACACTGTATTGTAAATACTCCTTACTCAGAGATACAAGATATACTCCATGCAAAATGTATATTGTATATACTTGTTCCACTGGAATGTAGAATATACTCTATATATTGTACTTTCTCTCAACACAGTGCTGTAGGATATATACAGTATACTACACACCCCTACCACTAGGCACGGGATATACTAATTCTAAATCATATCGACATATTTTCGGTCAGCAAGTACAGTTCCAAGACGATTCGTGCATACAATTTTCAATAAATTTTATTATCAAATGCATACAAAACAAATCAATTGCTACATGCATACACAAGTTGCTTGTTATTGATAATCAGCACAGTGGTTTGTGACTTAGCTGTAGAACCTGAGTATGAAGTAGGTTACTGTTTATATAATGTGTGCAATATAGATCTGACAATTACCTCCCTTTATGTGTAAAGTTACTTGTAAATACGAGTATGCTTTGAGTTTCTGTCCTTTGATACAATAAGTGTACAATAGTTGTTAACAGTTTTTAATACTTTTTTGTTATGATGTCTATGACCTTGGCAGAAATGCTTTTTTGGTGCCGACTAAGGATTTTGATGCCCTTTTGTGTTGAAAGAAGCAGGACATTTTGTAATTGTAAAGTAACATCAATTTTTGTCTTTCTCTCTCTCTTCCCTACCCTCTCTTTTATCACATTATAAACGAAATGCGTACTTGATATTAAATTTCTCCCAACATGCCCCCCCCCTGCACTAGTTTCCAAAATGCACATGAAGAAAGATAAAAAAAGACACAAGTATCTCAATATACATACATAAGCAGGCCATCTTTTCTCGAAAGGCACATCGCAGTGATAACATAGTAGAAAAGTATGACTATCATCAGGCTGTTCTGATGTACCTTCCATTGGTGCTTATAAATCCATCTATTTGTCCTTAGATGATGTTAGCTGTGAAAAGGACGTTAAACAAAATAAAACCAGAATAAAACCAGGATATAAACAAAATAAAACCAGGATATAAACAAAATAAAACCAGGATATAAACAAAATAGAAGCAGCTCTTACTAAGTTACTGTAAGTAAATGTATGGAAATTAAAAATATTCTGAATTTAACGTTTCCTATCTATTCACGTGTTTTTACTTCAACATACGTGTACACTGGGTGAAACTACAAACATCTCAACATAAATCTGCTCCATTTCAGAACTCAATAGCCACACATTCTGATAAGCCATATTTGAACATTATTAATAGAGATATCGGGCTAGGGAAAGTGTGGGATGCTGTAACACGCCTGTGCTTCAGTCCATATCCTGCTATATTTGTAAAAGTACTTCATCTATATGTTTATAGTTCAAAAATGTGAAGTGAAACATTGGAAATTAAATATTTTTTGTTAAGTGCATGCAAATTTTTACAAGCTTGAAAACTATTTTTCTTCATACATTCTTTTGTTGTCTAGCTTCCAGGATCATGTTTTGTTAATTTAATTTTAGGATGAATAAATATTGTTCTTTTTCCTAACTATTTCAACGTTATGTTTAAACGTTTTATCATATTAACCCAAACCAGTAATAGTACTATATATTGCCATAGTCGAAACCTGTTGACGTTGGTGTTTCCATTACCTCAGTTACATAATTATAGATATACACACACTTGTGGCAACGAAATAAACGGTAGCTGTGATATACTAGAATTTCATGGTGCACAGAAACCCTTTGTTTCCCTCATAAATTTCATTTATGAAAAAGATCGAAAAGATAGAAACTTGTATAGATTTTATAGCTATGTTTAATACATGTCTCTTTAATGATGTACTGTACGTGTATTATTAAGAATGAAAGCAATCATAAATATCTTCAAATGAGGAGAGAGGAGTTTACAAGAAAGAACAAAATAGACTAATTACTATATTGATTATAATTACAAGTTATCGATGTAATTGAAGATTGTACATCTCACGGTACATCCTCAACATTTTAGGGTTTACGCTTGCTTACATTCTCTATACCCCCGGAATGTGTCATGACAAAATCGAAGGCACTAAGTTAACAATTTGATTGGTTTAAGGTGAAACAAATCTCCCTACCAATCACTAGACAAGTACTTGTCCTTTGTAGAGTACTTAGGAGCGACATCCAACTTCAAAGCTCGTCTTTTTTTACCATTAGCTGCCTCATGGCTTTTTTGATGTAAAACAAAGAGTAAAACCAATCTACTCTATCATCAACAATGTGGCACATACCTAGTACTACTATTCAATTCAGTTTTGTAATAACATATTCCGAGGATGCAGAGAACGTAAGTGAGCGTAACCCCTGGAATTTCAAGGATGGCTACATAATGTTGTTTGTCATTGTTGTCAATTTGAACAGTGTCACAGTAATGCCAAAAGGCTCACTGCTGCCAGCACTAACTGTTATATAGCCATGTTGATTAATAAATATATTTTTAAAAATATAAATATTGTTGAATGTATGTTATACTGTAGCCTTTTTTGGTGTTGATGATGGTTGTCTAAATGAAAAGTATATGTATGGCTGTGTGAATGGTCAGGTTACCCTGGCAACTATCAACACAATTATATATATGAAGATATGAATTTAATTAAACAGTACACGTTACTTCACAAAATGATCATGATGTTGTGTGTTGTCTGTTAATGATTAATAATCTCCCAAAAAGGAACTTATGCTATGGCTTTGCCTTTATATCAGTATCAATGATAGATTGAGCATCCCTTTTCAATATCTGCCTGTTTAGTAAGGGACATTCTCTATTGTGCTTGCTACAAAGGATTTTCGTCAGCAGTGTTTGTGTGATGTGTTGTAAAGTTGGTACAACCTGTTTCCGAATACTTGTTCAACAACTGACTGACACAACTTTGTTATGGCTCTTAATGCTTTTCTTTCACTCGGAAAAAACGAGTAGCACTATTTAAAAGTAATGCTGATCCATTACTGGTACTAGTTCCTTAGAGGGATGCACCACCTATCTGGCTACATTGTACCAGGAAGCTTACAGTTTGTTTTAAGAAGTCGGTGCTGAATGAATTAAATTTGTCTACCGTGGATAAGCTTTTCACGTTTGCCTGGAATGGTAATTGTCATCCTTGCAGTAAACACAATGCATCATAAAGGTATGTTTGGAAGGAATATTTTCCAGTTGTGCAGCACTCTCAATCCTCACATGTGCTGCTGCTGTATGTTGGACCACCTAAATCTGCGCCCTCTAGCAGATGGACGTAGAGATGCTCGTCTGACCATGCTTCATAACATTGTAAACCAGAAAGTCGCTATCGTAAAATCAGACAGATCAATCCCTACAGTTAGAAAATCCCGAACAAACCACCAGTTTTCGTATCAAATTCCCCACTCAAAAACCCAGACCAGAAAGGCATCATTCTTCCCTCGAACTATACTCGAGTGGAATAAACTCCCACCCGACATAATTTCGAGCCCCACAACGGAATTATTCAAATCAGCCCTCTACCGTCACTTTTCAAACGCAAATTAGACCATCTCGTATCTTTTAAAAACAATCTCTTTCCATGTTTCACTCTTCGTCTGACATTTTTTCTTCAAATTGTTGAAGTTGGTCAGTACCATTTAAAAGTAAAAGTATGGAGAGAAATCAGATGCTGTACCCACGCACAGAAAGATCAGCCGAAAAATCCAATCACAGTTCATAAGAGAAGCAAAGTTCATGTTCAATAATTCTGTCACCTGGTCTGATAATAATATAATAATAATAATAATAATATACAACATTTATATAGCGCCCTATTTAATTTGTAAAATTACTCTAAAGCGCTTTACAACAGATGTCTGATGTCCTTACCCTTCCCCAGGGCCTGCTTCCAAGATGTTGAGTATTTGGATGAGTGTTGTTTTGCTTAATAACTTTGGTAATTACATTTTCTGTCCGTTCTGATACTTGGTGGACATCTCGAAGGCAATTCCCAGTCAACGTCATTTCTATGTACATAATGTGATTTACCAGTTGTTCATAAATGTTGCAGGTACGGTGTACCTCCCTCAGTGTTATTATTGAGTTTTGTCCCGGTGTTGCACTGTACATATTTGTCACGATAAAAGTCTGCTCTTTTTAAGTTTCCCATCACACAACAAATAAAGTTACACTTCACTAAATGTAATCGGATGTCTTGATCATTCTGAGCATCTAGAGAAAATGAGTTGAGTAGATAATATATTGGCGGGCCAACTTCTTAATAGATGTCGCCGAATATTGTTACATCAGACAGCCTTGTTATATGGAGTTTTATCATTGCTTTCACAACCGAAGTATTCAGACTTTTTATTGGTGAGAGCCTTAATGACAAATGAATGCAGATCAATATTGAATAATTGCCAAATTCAACATGAAGCGCCGACGTTAGACTTTCTAGTCGGACGCTTCGTGACTTCCTAGTCAGCCACTCCACTTCTGACCGAACTGGACATCCTGTCCTGCCAATGCCAGTAAGGAGATTTTGACACCGCACATTCTTTATACCGGTAGAGTCTCATTAGGTCCTACTTCTCCTGGTCTTCCTTTTGTATATATCAGCCATAGTGCCACAGGAGCTGTCTAAATAGAATCTTTTTCCGTTAGCAAATCTCCTCATTCAGAAATGAACACAGTCTGGAAAGACAAATGCAAGACATGCACAATAATTACGAAATTATTGTTGCATCTAACATTTAACACTGAATCGCTACCCAAATCAAGTACGATTGACCCTTAATCACTTCAAACAGATTCATCAAGACAATCGCAGTATCACCGAAAATGGCAAGACACCTATGACTCAATTATAACTTTTTCTAAACTGTTTATTTTTTGTAACGCGTTACCTGACCCTTCATAAATGGATTCATTTTCAAATGCCATGGTGGTCTGGTGGCGCAGTGGACAGCGCACCTGCCTTTCACCAAGGTGGCCGGACATCAGACCAGGTGGCGACGACCAGTCGTGTTCAATGTAACAGACGAATAGGAGGAACAACCAACTTAAGGTGGAGTACATGGCAGTACATGGAATATGCCTTGGTACATATACCTGTAGTAAGTGGTGTAGACAATGTAGAACTCATGTGGATGGGCGTACATCAGTGGTTGGTATGTTGCTAAATGGTGGTATTACATGTTCCCAGGGCTCGTTGTCACTGTCAATCTTTAAATGCGCTGGTCATGCGTAGACAGGTGTATAAACTGTCTAAGGAATTTTCGGTTTTGTAAAGTATTGTCATACCGATCAACCCGGACCACATACTGTCCAAACCGACGAACTTCTATGACTACACTAGTCTTATTACGCTATATCCATTTGAAATGATACGCACATGACCTTCTAGGGGCAGGAGCCATTTTCCGTCTTCTGATTAGCATTCAGCATCTCAGATGTTACGATTTCGCAAAAGTGATCTTTCGCGGGCAGCCATATTATCCAGCCAAACGTGTTGTTGCATATACTGGCCAGGTGGTATTTTGAATAAGTCTTGTATACTTAGTAGGACGGCCAAACTTTCACATCATGTAGTTGGTAAAATTGTTGTCTTCATTTCAGGAGTGTTCCTTTATTGGAGCATGACATGTTGGACTGCGTCAGTGTTGATGTCACCATTAGAGCGTCAGTGTTGATGTCACCGTTAGAGCGTCAATTAGATCGTCAGTGTTGGTGTCACCATTAAAGCGTCAGTGTCGATGTCACCCTTAGAGCGTCAGTGTCGATGTCATCATTAGAGCGTCAGTGTCGATGTCACCATAAGAGCCTCAGTGTCGATGTCACCAGTAGAGCGTCAGTGTTGGTGTCTCCATTAGAGCGGCAGTGTTGATGTCACCATTAGAGTGTCAGTGTTGATGTCACCATTAGAGTGTCAGTGTTGATGTCACCATTAGAGTGTCAGTGTTGATGTCACCATTAGAGCTTTAGTGTTGGTGTCACCATTAGAGCATCAGTGTTGGTGTCACCATTAAAGCGTCAGTGTCGATGTCACCATTAGAGCGTCAGGGTTGGTGTCACCATTAGAGCGTCAGTGTCGATGTCACCCGTAGAGCGTCAGTGTTGGTGTCACCATTAAAGCGTCAGTGTCGATGTCACCATCGTCAGTGTCGATGTCACCATAAGAGCCTCAGTGTCGATGTCACCAGTAGAGCGTCAGAGTTGGTGTCACCATTAGAGCGTCAGAGTTGATGTCACCATTAGATCGTCAGTGGTGATGTCACCATTAGAGCGTCAGGGTTGGTGTCACCATTAGAGCGTCAGTGTTGGTGTCACCATTAGAGCGTCAGTGTCGATGTCACCATAAGAGCGTCAGTGTCGATGTCACCAGTAGAGCGTCAGTGTTGGTGTCACCATTAGAGCGTCAGTGTTGATGTAACCATTAGATCGTCAGTGTCAATGTCACCATTACAGCGTCAGTGTTGGTGTCTCCATTAGAGCGTCAGTGTCGATATCACCATTAGAGCGTCAAGTGTCGATGTCACCATAAGAGCCTCAGTGTCGATGTCACCCGTAGAGCGTCAGTGTTGGTATCACCATTAGAGCGTCAGTGTCGATGTCACCATTAGAGCGTCAGTGTTGATATCACCATTAGATCGTCAGTGTCGATGTCACCATTAGAGCGTCAGTGTCAATGGCACCATTAGAGCGTCAGTGTTGATATCACCATTCGATCGTCAGTGTCGATGTCACCATTAAAGCGTCAGTGTTGATGTCACCATTAGATCGTCAGCGTTGGTGTCACCATTAAAGCGTCAGTGTCTATGTCACCATTAGAGCGTCAGTGTCAATGGCACCATTAGAGCGTCAGTGTTGATATCACCATTAGAGCGTCAGTGTCGATGTCTCCATTAGAGCGTCAGTGTTGATATCACCATTCGATCGTCAGTGTCGATGTCACCATTAAAGCGTCAGTGTTGATGTCACCATTAGAGAGTCAGTGTTGATGTCACCATTAGAGAGTCAGTGTCAATGTCACCATTAGAGTGTCAGTGTTGATGTCACCATTAGAGCATCAGTGTCGATGTAACCATTAGAGCGTCAGTGTCGATGTCTCCATTAGAGCGTCAGTGTTGATATCACCATTAGAGCGTCAGTGTTGATGTCACTATTAGAGCGTCAGTGTCGATGTCACCGTTAGAGCGTCAGTGTTGATGTCACCATTAGATCGTCAGCGTTGGTGTCACCATTAAAGCGTCAGTGTCGATGTCACCATTAAAGCGTCAGTGTTGATGTCACCATTAGAGAGTCAGTGTCAATGTCACCATTAGAGCATCAGTGTCGATGTCACCATTAGAGCATCAGTGTCGATGTAACCATTAGAGCGTCAGTGTCGATGTCACCGTTAGAGCGTCAGTGTTGATGTCACCGTTAGAGCGTCAGTGTTGATGTCACCATTAGAGCATCAGTGTCGATGTCACCATTAGAGCATCAGTGTCGATGTAACCATTAGAGCGTCAGTGTCGATGTCTCCATTAGAGCGTCAGTGTTGATATCACCATTCGATCGTCAGTGTCGATGTCACCATTAAAGCGTCAGTGTTGATGTCACCATTAGATCGTCAGCGTTGGTGTCACCATTAAAGCGTCAGTGTCTATGTCACCATTAGAGCGTCAGTGTCGCTGTCACCATTAGAGCGTCAGTGTTGCTGTCACCATTAGAGCGTCAGTGTTGCTGTCACCATTAGAGCGTCAGTGTTGGTGTCACCAAAAGGGCGTCAGTGTTGATGTCACCATTAGATCGTCAGCGTTGGTGTCACCATTAAAGCGTCAGTGTCGGTGTCACCATTAGAGCGTCAGTGGTGGTGTCACCATTAGAGCATCAGTGTCGATGTCACCATTAGAGCGTCAGTGTTTGTGTCACCATTAGAGCGTCAGTGTTGATGTGACCATTAGAGCGTCAGTGTTGATGTGACCATTAGAGCGTCAGTGTTGATGTCCCCTTTAGAGCGTCAGTGTTGATGTCACCATTAGATCGTCAGCGTTGGTGTCACCATTAAAGCGTCAGTGTCTATGTCACCATTAGAGCGTCAGTGTCAGTGTCACCATTAGAGCATCAGTGTCGATGTAACCATTAGAGCGTCAGTGTCAATGTCACCATTAGAGTGTCAGTGTTGATGTCACCATTAGAGAGTCAGTGTTGATGTCACCATTAGAGAGTCAGTGTTGATGTCACCATTAGAGCGTCAGTGTCGATGTCACCATTAAAGCGTCAGTGTTGATGTCACCATTAGAGCGTCAGTCTTGGTGTCACCATTAGAGCTGGTGTCACCGGTAGTTAGACGTGTCATCGTTGGGACTCTTGAGTTCAACACGGCAGTTAAGAACTACATGGAAAGGCAACAGACGAGAGACGGGAGACTATATGCATACATTCCAGTCTTTGAAGAACTGACGCATCGCAACTTATGCGAACTTCAAAACATTAAAAATGTAACGGAAGTCCGTCTATATAAGAGTCACTGTCCACTGTCCACTGGCACCACCACGGGCTTTTTCAACAGTTGGCCATTTATAGTAACGGTCGACTGTTAGTAAGTTGTGGTTGCAAAAGGTCTCTGCATGATAAAAATGGGTAATCCGGGTTTGTTAAAGGGGTGGTAGGAGTGCTGAGGTTCATGAGGTTGCGTTCGGTATCTGTGCGGCAGTGCGCGCGGCTACCTATAGTTGCTAAGCGCGTACCACTTCCGTTTGCTTCAACGAACTGACACGTTCCTCGGGGTAGGGTAGGGACTGTTTGATTTACGTCGCCATCTCATTCAGGGCACACGTAATCACGAATTTGCATATTCTGCCATGTCGATTTCATCGCAGTCCTGTCTAGTCGTTTAAATGCCATTCACGCTACATTTTTTGTTTTCTGCCACGGACTGTGAACGACTGGAAAATCTTCAATTGTCTTTTCGACGAAGCCGTCACCTATTGACAATGTTAGACTTCACGGCCCATTGTAACACTCCAGTAGGTGAACCAATTTGTCCTGGCCAGTTACGTTAAGTAGTGGCGCTTGCATAGTCCGATGATCCTGTTGGAAAATAATCTTAGCAACCAATCGCTCTGGGCCATGATGCATGCCGCGACGATTGGAGTAGCCCTTGATTCAGCAGGCTGCTGCTGCTGATATAGTGGTGATGTGACATTGGATTTTGTAGATCTGTCGTGTCCATAAATAGGACTCTTGTTCCGTTAGCAAAACTTTTATTTAGCAATGAACATGTCTGAAAAACACATGAAGCGTACACTGATTGTTGCATGCTTAATATAACACCGGAGAGATGCATTCGATACCGGTTTCGTCCGGATATTTGGACGCGTTACTTTAACACGACTTGTTATGACCATTATTGCGACAGTTTGTATTATTTTGTTTCATATATTCATGCGTCTTTTACAAAATTGATGTGAAACTGTCGCGGTATTTATCACAACTGGGAAAAATTAAATTACAAAAAAATGACTAGTTATGATAATGATCAGCATTAATTTTGTTTAAAAAAAGTCTCATTAATAAAATCAAATAAACACGACGATAGTTGTCTAAACAAGTCGTCTTACCGTTATGCGCTTAACGGAGTGACAGATGACACAATATATACCACGACATGCAACTATACCTTTTTCAAGGAGATTCACTTAAGGCACACAATGTGATGACGGTCCGCTAGTGTTGAGGAGGTTCCGTGTTCGAATCCCGGTCTTCGGGTAGATACACAATACCTTTCTCGCCGGAACTCTTATCTCTGGGTTCAGTTTCGTTTTTTTCCTATGAATTGTGAATTAACTTGGTATGTTAATTGGAAATTAGCATCACCTCTATCCCCTACCATTACGCTATACAGAAACTGGTGCACAGTGCGTTGTACGGTTAAATTGGCTTCTGGCAACGGTTTATGGCTTGCATGTCTTGTATGGTGAATTCTTTCAGTGTTATTTCACGTTTTGTTGGCATGCTAATTTTCTCTCTTGCAGTGATCCTACACTACATACATAAGTAGTTTGTTCGAAAGCATCCTCATGTTACTGACATTGAAAAAGATTGACTCCAAAATCCGTACTCGGTACATCAGAGATTCACCGAAGTTAAAAGTGAACTAGACATAACAATATGTGTGTGTGTGTTCACCAATAGCACTGATTGGATATGATTTTTGGGATCGAACCCCGGCCGCCTTGGTAAGGCAAGTGCGCTATCCACTGCGCCACCCGACCACCCCATTTATTCAGTCTTTTTTCGGTCGCGCTTCGGTAACACAACTTTTGGTATTGATATTGCGACAATTTGATAAATTAATGCGACATTTTTAAAATTATCACAATTTGAAAGAGTTAAATTACAAATATTTGACTGGACATGATAATAATTTGGTTAAATATCATTGATGAAATCCAATTAACACGACCTGCTCCAATAATTTTCTGTTGAAGACGTATTTATTACCGTAACGAGTCCTAAACTTACGAGTAGGATAACAGAAATATGGCAAGATAGATATCACGTCTGCTTACTTGTGTAATTCCTTAAGAAAACTCTTTATAAAGGTGGATGTAAGAGTGTAATGACAATAGACATTTTGGTGTTAGCCCAAAGAGCGCCACGTCCTTTAATGACCTTATTTACCCCATATGTCAACCAAAAGACCGCATTGTGTGAGTACGTCGAGCTAGTGTCGAAAAGGTTCCGGGTTCGAATACTGGCCTGTGTATGCAATAGAATATATCCGTATATCAAGTTTCACTTCGGAACTCTTATGCTTCAGGTTCAGTTTGATCTGACAGTATTTTAGCTGTCGTAAAATACTGGAACCATTGTTTTTTTGTTCACATATACACGCGATATGTGTCGATAATTGTTTGTCTGGTTTTGACATGTGGACAGCAATTCTATAGTTTTTTCCCGAAAAAGTACATTGGCACTGTTTGTGAATTAACTTTATTGTGGGTTTTTTCGTGAGATTTGGTCCGGTTTTCGGCCATGCTTAGTGGCCAAATTGGTACACCAAATCATAGGCTATGAAAGTTGTTTTTATTTCTACTAGTTGGTGTGCCGATTGCAACCAAATATATTGCCTTTATATATATAAACACACACACTTTTATAATATCCGGTTATCAATATTTAAACATACTTATAATAACACCTTTCAAAATCATCAAAAATGTCGTCGACGTTCGTCGTTTTTAATTGGTTTTCTGATATGTTTAGTTTGTATTCTTAAAATGTTCATGAAAACAAAACTATTCGGTGGAAATGCTGATAATTAGATCTCTTTTGTTAACTTGCCGTTAGAAAATGCTTAGATTTAATTTTAAAGTCTAATCCATTTTCTGACCGTGTACCAATATTGTGGTACCTATAACTTGACAGGTTAGCGTTATACACACAGATGTGTCGTGTATAAAACAGATGTTTCAAAACCTGCGTTTTCATGGTTTTACCCTCAGAATTGCATTTTGATGCCTATTTTTGCATTTAACAGTTGTATGGCAAACTCGTCGTTACAATAAAAACATTACAAAGTATAATATTAGTTAAGTTACCAATCAAAGGCATTAATTAACACATATGGAACAAATAACATTTATGATCAGACATTCAGATATAAATCTACTCGACAAGAATAAATTTGATGATCACGGCAGCAGGAACAACTCTCTAACGGACTCTACATCAGATGTAGATGTAACAAAAAACTTGAAAAAAAAACAATAAAAAAACCCCACCACTCTCTAACGGACTCGGGTGCGTTTCGTAAAGACTCAAAACATAGTAGGGTAATCTCCCCTTTGTTACTCTTCAAGTGTTAAAGGCGGTTGTCGTTTGAAGGAGAGTAAAGAAACACGGAATCACCGCCTCCTCCAGTTATACTTTGCACTTGACCAAATGCTAAGAGTACATTAAATAATTCATTCAATTCATAGGTAGAGTATCCCTATTCCTCTCTCTCTCTCTCTCTCTCTCTCTCTCTCTCTCTCTCTCTCTCTCTCTCTCTCTCTCTCTCTCTCGAGCGTCAGTACGATGAAAGAAAGTACCAACTCTATATCTAATGTATGAGGAACTTGAAGTTGAGGAGTAAAACAAGTGTCTACTGTACATTCGAGCTGGAGACAATACCATATATATATATATATATATATACAGTAGGCATATCAGGTGCCTACTGTCAGAGACCTATATATTAGTGTCTGTATTTTGGTTTGCTACTGAATAGAATGATACAAAATCGATACTAGTATCTATCGCTATTTGTCGGAACTGAGGTTAGCGACTGCTGTTGCAAGTTTCGATCCGGATCAATACTGTACAGTACACCTGAATACTATCGTAGGATATTCGGTACGTATAGGTAATACACGTGAGCGACCACCAGATACCTTTATTGCCCATAATAAACCCATTTCATAAGGTTTACTACGAACACCACCCAAAGCTTCGTTTTGATTGGTCGAAGCAACCATTCTGGCATTCAGTCGGGTAGCGAACAACAGACAGCTGCGTGCGCCGGTCTGTTCACATGTGTATTGTATACGTGTACTGTAAACCAAGCTTACATAAGCATGACTATAGAGGGGTTATTGAAGCGTTTATAAACGGGTATTTACACTGAACACGTTTGTGTACATGTGTTGGTTAGGCACAGCACAGTTCGGACGATATGTGTATTGTGTGATCAGGGAGGCTTCAAAGTGAAGGGTACATCACGGAAGAACATGAAATATCAGCTATAAACAAGTGAACACACACAATTTTCGATATTGTATCTTACACAGCTGGATTAACAAATTAAATATGGCCATGAATGGAACCAGCAGAAATATGACTGGAGAGAAATCAAGTAATCATTATGATAAAGTGGAAAAGAAACCCTTCATCATTACAAGGATGTTAAACAAGATCACATCTTCAATGGAAAATGGATTTTATATGTAAGTAGGTTTAATCATATTATTGTAAACAGTGCTGACAAACGTTATGTCAGTCAGATTAAATTTGTGTACACTGTTTTTACTTTTTTTTATGAGGAAGTTGGGAAGCAGGTATTTAAACATTAGCGTATTACCACTTTTCTACCTTACATCCAGCATTTATCAGTTGTTTTCAAGTTAAAGTACAAAAATGTAGTATTGTTTTTAAATTATTCATAATGATGCAATTACATGGTTTCCTGGGCCTCTTATGAAGTTAGAACATTTTCAAATCCTTCGTATATATGTCGTTGACCATGGTAGCACATGTACAATGGATAAGCTCAAACTCCCTGCTCTATAATTCTCTGTAATGAGGATTACCCATGGCTATTTATTTGTGGAAACAGGAAATTACAATACATATATTTCTCTTGTCTGTTTACTTTAGTAATTTACAGACAAGCAACTCCTAGGTCAGAAAAGTATTAAAAATCTTTCTTAGTTACAACATATAACACAACATAGGTACAACATAGTGCTGGGAATCATTCTCTTCATGCCAAATGGCAAATGACTTTATTTATGTAATAAGAAAAATATAAATTCTATTCAACATATATTTTAGATAAAAAAAAGTCTGAACATAATTCCACCCTAGAAGACAATTGCTTACACTAAAAAGAAATTTCTGAAGGAACACTTTTGTAAGCTTGGGGGGGGGGGGGGGGGGGGGGGGGGAAACCTTCCTTTATTGCTTTGACTTCGATTTGATAGCTATACATATATGTACCTATGCATAGTTAATTTTGAAGAAGTACAGCGATACAAGTCAATGTGTTTAACCTATAGCTACTAGATGTGAAATCAGCTGTCATATGTAGGTTATCTTTAAGGTTGGATGGGTTTGTTACAGACATTCCTGATATATAACTCACATCTACTAGAGGATCTTCACTTTGGTTGTTGAATTTAAATAGCCTGCAGGCATTAGTACTCACTATATACTGATTCAACAAACATTTCTTAGGTGTTTCCATTGGGAAGCAATGCTGAAGTTAATAAAAAAAAATCTTCTTTTAAACCTTAAATTCATGAATCTCGGTAAGGTATTGGGGCCAGGAAACATTGAAATATGCCTTACAAACTCTCAATCATACAATTAATTACATTCTGTAACTGCATCGTGATTATAAGATGACACATGTATAAATAGTGAATCCCCATCCTGTAGCTGTCAATTCGACACTGTCATTATTTAAATTTAATTGTTGGGGTGCCCCATCGTTTGCATTGTGAATGCTTGATATTCAGTCTTGTGACTTAGTATACATTTGACCTGAACACATGAGTATGTGGGCAAATCTATGCATACTGTCATCATACGACTTAACAGAAGATATACTTATGAACTACACTGTTATAAAGACATGTACTGGAAACATACAATTGACCAGTAATCGTTCAGTTTAAGGTTGAGGACATATCATTTCATCAGTAAAGTTTCCCAACATAGCGTATCAAGCAAACAAAATAACCAAAGTCTTGATTCTTTTCATATATATATCTGATATTAAACAAATTTCGAAAATTTGCCAATGGCATATTACTAGAACTTGTAAGTAAATAATTGAAATGCATTGAAACAGCAACGATATCATTTCAAGTTGATAAATTCTTCCCTTGTAGATTATACTTGTATATAAACTGAATATACTTATAAAACACCAATAGGGCTGCAATTTCAGAATTTAAGTGTTTAGAATATGGTTTTATGTATAAACGTAGGATATCCAATTCATGCTGCTTGCTAGAGTAAATTCGAATGTCACCCTAACAGGCCAAGCTTGGGACATTTAACTCATTCACCACTGAAGACACATTTGTACTCCTCCAATATAAAGGTTGGAATAGTTCATTATAAAATTTCAGGGGTGAGTGATGTTAAAGGTTGTTTGAGGACGATATCAAGGCGACCGAGGACAGGTGTACCAGTCTTTGTTGACTCACATATAATTAAAGAGCTGTGTGTATGTACACAACGTCTAGGTGTGATCATAAAACATAGTCGATATGGTTTTTAAGCAAAGTTTTAACTTGTGCTGTGGAAACTTAAGACTGTGCCATTTTTCTATTACACAACTATTTTGTCGACGTTTTCACTAACTGAAGTACATTGACAGTTGAGACTGTCCTGAATTCAGGACAGGTAGTACATAGCATGATATAAGATAGATCTCCTTGCTTCTTTTTCAAAGAAATCATAGATATAACATTTCATGTGATTTCTGTGAAAAATTCCTTGTATTACACTGTATATTAAGAGTTGATATCAATATGATAATCACTATTAATTGTAATTTATTAAGATAGAAAACAAATTCAGCATCATTCTATGGGACATATTCCTTATAGCAGGTTAGAGAAGTAAACACCTTCCCCAACTAGCCCGAGTTTCCCCTGGACCTGACACCAGACTTAGACATTTTGACATATATAGATGTCTGGTGAGAAAATGTCTAAGTCTGGTGTCAGGTCCAGGGGAAACTCGGGCTAGTTAGGGAAGGTGTCCAAGTCTGGTGTCAGGTCCAGGGGAAACTCAGGCTAGTTAGGGAAGGTGAATAAATCATGGATGTCGAAAACAAAACAATGGTTAAACGCCAGCTTATCACAAAGTCAGATGTGTAGGTAAAACTTAATTGTTTGCAAATTATATGTTTAGGATTATATATATGTACATGGTTTTAGACTTAAGCCTAACTTGTTTATATAATTATTTACTGGAAAATAAAGCCAGGGTAGATACTTAATTCAGGGTAGATAGAAATGAAATGTGAAAGCACATACTTGGTTTGGCCAAAACATCTAATGTGTGATTTGAGGGAACACAACACATTTTATCATTCATCCCTGTGGTCGGTGATTCTTTTGGTCTGGTTTCAGTGATTTTTTTACTATTTTTTCCAAAGGGCCGGTGCCATTTTTTATTGGGAATTTTGCTGCACGGACACCATGTATTGGGAATTTTACGACATGTAACGGATGTATGATATAAGGGAAATTTTGTTTGATCGCGCTCAAACAACGTCATGTGTAAACAAAACTTGAAGCTTGAATTCAATGCCCCAAGATAAACTTTTATTTATCAAAAACTTTAACAACGTTGTACAACAGTTTATAAGAAGGCATACTTATTTTTTTTTTAACAGCGATTGGGAAAATAATGGGTCAGAATTGGGATAACTTCACCACGGGAAAGTACCTAAAGTCTGCACTAAAACTGGGGTAAAAAAATCACTGGGTTTTACAGCTGAATTCAGGCTGTTTCTCCTAGCAAAAAGTGCATTATTTTCCCAAAATGAAGATAAAAAGGGGAATATCTTCCTGATTTAAATCAAAATAATGTTATATTTTCCCAATTAATTCAGGAACAGGGTGTTGTAAAATATAGGTAGAACTTCCCAGGTGCAGTTGTCATACTTTACCCTTTCACCCATATGTAACTTAAGTAGACTCTCCCATACATTGATCTGGATGATTCCATTGTGGTCCTTAGTGGTGAAAGGGTTAAGTTGTCAGTGTCTGAATATCAAAGAACAAAATATCAAATATAATTACCATAATCTTTTTTTTTTTTTATCCTCAGGCTTGGAATGCTGATTGGAAATCATCCGTTGAAAAGTGTACTACTGAGTGGTTTCGTGGTGGGAATATTTGCACTCGGTGTGTTAAACTTCACAGAAGACACAGACTCCGACACTCTCTGGGTTCCATCTGATGCAGAAGTATTCCAGGACAAAACGTGGGTCTCGGCCAACTTTCCCAGTACTCTTCGCACCGTCAGTGTGATATTTGTTTCGAGTAACGTCTTAAGTACATCAGCAGTTCAAGCAGTAAGTTTTCTTCACTCCGAGTAACTTTTGTGAATCTAATCTACCTCAATTCATGAATTCATGATGATCACTACCTTTTAGAACTTTCCTGTGGACTTATGAAATTATGGCCGTCATGGACTTGGGGTTAACTTACCTGTAAATGTCGCAAAACCAGCAGTCATGACCACAGATGACCACAGATGACAGATGACCGATTTTAATAATTTTACAGTAGGTAAAAATTGTGTGGCCAAAAAATATCGCCAAACCACGGACTTAGGTAATCTAATTCCGTGGCCAAACTGAACTGTGACATGACCTGGTTTGAAGTGACGATACCCAAGCCGCCATGATGAGCCCTTCTCACTGATCGTAATTATGGTCAATGAAAGGTATCTAATTATGTCTTTCACCAGGAGATATGCACCAGCGTTTACTAAACATCGAATTACTTATTAATTGATATGTTTTTGTAAGCAAGTAAATGTTTTATGTAAAATATTGCTAAAATGAATTGATGTATGCCGATATGCGCACACGTGTGTGTCATGTGTGTGATCAGATAATTCAAAGAAAACGAGCAACAAAATACACATTTTACGTAGTTTCTTCTTGGTTTTTAATATCTGTACATCAATAAAAAAAAATTCATAAGAAATATATTTAAAGAAAATGTTATTTAGAGATCGATTTTCAGCCTCAAAAAATACCTGCGCAAATTACACAGGTGCGCAAATTACATGGGTTTTTACGGTAGATGGAAAATGTATAAAATCATGATTTAACGTTAAGTATTGGATTTAGTATATTACATGGTACATGTTACTATTTATTCAGCCATGGTTGCCTTGCTCTTCCAGATGAACACCCTCTACAAAAGCAGTCTTGGATTGACAACATCTTCAGGAAAAAACTACACAGATGTTTGTTTCAAGTAAGCAAAATTTCGGGAATTCTTTGCTCAAAAGGTTAAATTCTGTCATAAGTGACACTTTGCATGCTTTTGATTTCACAAACTGACCTTTTTTGTATGTATATTTGTGAGGACTTTAATTCCTGTATCATTGAACATGTATATATATATCTGATGCTTGATGTCACGAATTGTTCACTTGATGCTTGAGTTCATGATTGATGGTAAAAGTTAATTCACAGAAGTGATCTACTACTGCTGATCTTCATAACCTTGACGCTTTAGTGTTTTTGATTCTGTATCATTCTGTTAGCAGAGAGACAAATTGAAAACCAATCTAATGAAATATATCAATGAGAATTCAGTCACGTTATTCTTGATGCCACTTCTTAATTTTTATAAATTTTGAGAGCAAACACATTTTTTAAAAATCTGATACTGTACTCTATATATATGGCAGGCATGGTCTCTCAGCGCATACATGATCATTCTTTCTTAATGATTTTTAGAAGATTTTATTGTTGGAAAAGATAGTGATATTTGGTTATCAGGTTTTTGTGTGTATACTGCTGTAACTTTGATTGTAATTATTTGTAGGTCTGGCTCCAACTGTTTGGTGAACAGCGTCCTTGAACTTTGGAGCTACAATGATGCCAATATAGTTGCGGCTAGCGCAACTGACATCCTCAATACGATAAACACCGCCACTGTTAGGTATGCTTTAATCTCCGAGATATTTTACGTTTTAAGTTAAATCTGAGAAAATGTTGGTTTCATCAATATTGGCAACAAATCTTGGTCATGTGATTAACATTTGCTATTTGACTTGTGAAACCTTTAACATTTTTTTATTTTAAACTTACTAGAGGTTTAATTTGTTAAAAACAAAATTAGAATTGTTTCATAAATCTCTGATGAATTGGAAATGAATGTAAGATCCTCTCTATAGTATATATTTTATGTTATAAAAGCAGAAAAATGTTCCTTACGGACGAAGAAATAATATAAAAAGAAAAAATCTCGACAACGAGTCTTTAGTATACTTTCATCTCATCAAGGAGATTCTTCAGACTGTTCATTGAAATAGAAATTATGATGTCATAACGTATGACATCACATACTAGTTCGCTATAGCGATGTCCGCTATATGCAGACCCACCATAGCAATGTCACAGCAATAAAAATACATAATAATGGTCTTAAGGTAAAGAGTACTATTTGTTTAGGATTTATAATTACTATTGTTACTATTATTTATGAGAAAATAAATTCCCTGTGTGGAGCGAACTCAGTACCACTACATTACTGATCCGACACACCACCGATGTCACTACAACGGATCAATTATGTACAGTGGTGTAAATTTATTAATATATTAAACGCTTTTCTAGACAAAGAGAAAAAACCTGATAAAAAACACTCATCAGAACTGGTGTATATATTTCATATTTAGATGATTTTGAAAAAATCTTTTCCACAATGAAATAAACTTATGCAATGTCGTGTGTTTTGTTTTGCAGTCCTCTGTATGGTCGGCCGTTTGATGTGACAACCGTGTTGGGGAGTATATCCTACAGTAGTGGCACCACGGTCAGCGCTGCTGAAGCGGCCAAAATAACCTTCTTTCTAAATGGAGATAGTACAGTGAGTCTTTCCTATATATTTTCCCAGTAAACTTTTCCAAATAAATTGAAAAAAAAAAAAAAAGAGAATAAATCATGTGATTTTAAGATATATATATTACATAATGGAAAAGATTAAATGTTCATGTGAAGAGGGTAAGAATTGAAAAAATAAGATGTGTTAAATGACCGACTTCAAACCTAGCAGCTTTCACCACCCTTGACAGGGCTCTTCAAACATTGGAGGGTTCCAATGGTGGAATAATCTGGGCCCGTATTCATGAAACCTTTCTAATGCTCAAGCATGGATTCTGTGCTAAAACCACTTTTCTTGTATCTCTCATAAATCATGTCCAGCAATCAAAAAGTCAATTGTATACATTGTTCGGCTTGAAGTCTCTTAAATATTTTCCCCAAAACATCGATTTAAAAAAATAAATATAAGCCGAATAAGAAATAAGACTTGAGCACAAAATCCATCGTTGAGCATGAGAACAGTTTTATGAATATGCCTTTCCCATTTCAGTTCATTCTAGAAATGACAATGTTTTCTTTTCTTGAGTGATAAAGTATAAATTACTTGCAAATTTCAACACATTAATTAATAACCTGTTGGATGTATCAACAGTAACTACTTACTTTAAATTAAATACCTTCATGAGGTCATTCAGCTACGCGAGTACATGTGTGTAGTAACGCTGAAGTTAGAACATTAACACTTGTCTTTACCTGATAGTTGTCTTGTCTTTACCTGAAAGTTGTCTTTACCTGATAGTTGTTTTATCTTTACCTGATAGTTGTTTTGTCTTTACCTGATAGTTGTTTTGTCTTTACCTGATAGTTGTTTTGTCTTTACCTGATAGTTGTTTAGTTAGTTATCATTTGAAGCTGCAGGTCATCGAAAACATTTAGAGTTAAAAGACATTTGTTGACTTTCATTTCACAAATATATAAAGGATATAAAGACAAAATGATTAGTTCCATGTATTGCCAATATTTAAAAAAATATTACATCATATTGGTTATATCATTTGATATAAGCTGGACCATTATCATATTATCTTTTGGTTACAAAGAGCTGCATTAAATAATTCTACATGTACAATGTAATGTTCAACAATTGTACTGAAACAATTTCAAAGTTATAAACTTATTGTTTGAATATTTATTTATTTTAGAACAAAGATGAATCTATGGCCTGGGAAACCAAGATGGTAGACCTGGTGCAGAATACACAGAACAGTGCTATCTCCGATTACTATGTCCTGGCCACTAGGAGGTATTCCACTTTACTTGCCTTTTGAGGATATCGATTGTTTACAATGTTGAAAACTTAAAAGCAAAATTCCTGCTGTGATAACAAACTATTTCATTTCACATCTGATTGTGGTATTTGTGCTAGTAAATTAAAAAAAATACTGTGTTGAATTTGTACATACTTAGGTACAAGTATAAGGGTCAAAAATGGTAAATACATACAGAAGAGAGACTTGGAGAGATCTCCACCATTATCCAATTATCTATGAATTTATTGTGAACAAGAATTTATGTCAGCTTGAGTATGACATTATACACAACAATTGTATAATAATGGATTTTTCATTCAGTTTTTCAGATGTAGCCAGTGATGCAATAGGTGGGGACATATCTTTACTCAGCGCTGGCTACATGATAGTAATAATTTACATCATCATCATCCTTGGCAGATTCAACTGTCTTGATTTCGGGGTATGTGTATACTTCTGTATCCTCTCAATGTTTAAGCATACAAACAAAAGTAAACTGAAGCTCTTTGAAACTAGTCAATGCTAGCACAAATAGAAATCAGTCCTAGCTCACTGAAATAAGTCTGTATTTGTTACTGTGTGTAGCCTCTTGTTAGTGCAGAGTAGGTGAGTATGTGATTAAAATATTAATTTGTACAAATTTCTATGTAAAGGATTTCAAATATTTTAGAATCTTATGTCTTTCATATTTAAAGACACTAGACATAGGAAAATGTATTATTTGTTTTTAAACAAGATAGCACAATGAACATGTAAATCTAAATCAATGTTTTCTGTTTGGTAGCTTATTAAGTTTAGGGAATAAATTTACGATATGCCTTGGTCCATGATGTGGGATATATATAATAATCTGTATTGTACATTTCATTTTGTATAAAATATTATCACCAATTTTTCCTGAGCTTTGGAAGCAGCAAAACCAAATGATAAAATTTGTCTGTTGATCCCAGCTGGGTATTGCAGTGTGTGGAATTCTGGTGATAGGGTTGTCGTTGGGATTTTCATACGGACTTGCATCTGCTGCTGGCTGGAAGTACACTCCACTGCATTCCATTCTTCCTTTCCTCCTACTGGGTAAATAATACCACTTAGTTGTCCCACACACATCCTTGATCATTTGGTTGACTGAGCATTATATTCCTTTATTTGTTAATAGCCAAAAGTTTGCTGTAGAAATTTGAATTTAAGCTGAATTGGTTTTGCATCATTAGTAGCACTTACAAACAGAAGCCTGATGATCGGCAGTTAATAAGGCTGTTACGGTAGCCATATTTGATTTAGTTTTGAACAGTTGAACACACTATTCCATGGCTATTCCGTCTTTGTGTATTGCAGAGTTGTCTGCTCTTGCGAGCAGGTATTGATTGTTACGTCATTTGTTTGTGAGAGTACTAACGTCATCAATTTTTGAGAAAACAACGTAACTTTCTCGCACAAACCAATGACGCAACAATCAATACCTGCTCACAAGAGAAGATAACTCTGCAATACGCAAAGACAGAATATGCATTGCAGAGCTTGACTGACTTTTGGTCCGACTGTTGAGGTGTGACATTACAACATCTGTTTGATAATTTCTCAATGAAGGGGCTCCAGACAACCTGATTGGTTCAGAGTTATGTAACAATGTTATATTTACTTATTTTAGACATTCTTTTTTTGAGATTTACAAAAATGTATTTGTCAGCAGTATGGGAATTTGATGTATAATTATTGAATTTGATCTAAAATATTTAAATCAACCAATTCTACAGGTATAGGTGTGGATGATCTGTTTGTGATCATGGGTGCCTACAAAAGTCTGCCGATTGGGTATCTGGACAGACCCATTCATGAGCGAATGGCAATGACCCTGAAGCATGCGGGAGTGTCCATCACTGTCACATCCCTCACTGACATGTGTGCTTTCGGAATAGGTGCCACGACAGTAAGTCTTAAATGTAGTAACGACTATGTTATTTGCTGGAATATAAAAGATAAAAAAAAAATCTGATTATTTTGTTGTACAAAATGTACAAGGTTCTTTATTGGTAGAACCCTTTTATGATTTTATGTTATTTGTGCCAACGTCAGTTCACAATTTATCAGGAAAGTGAATGTTTGAATAAACTCAACAGACCTCTCATCTCAAAGTCAAGTCCCAGGTTTATAAAAGTGATTTGTGCATTCAAGTAGCCTCTACTCTACTCTACTCTACTCTAGAAGAGGACAAATATAGGCATAGCCTGTTGTCCATTACTTCTTATTTTTCAATAAGTATTACAGAAATAGAAATCAAACTGAAAGAAACCTCTAGAAATAAGGTTGATAGGTTTTATAGTTTCAAGAATTACAATATGTCAAATATAAGTAGCCTGACTGCATAAATTGAGGTTGTTCTTGGTTTTGTGATAAATAGTGCAGTTACAATGTATGTTTCGCAAGTTAGGTGAATAATTGATACTTTTCACAAGTATATGACACATCTCAAATGAAAAGTTAAAACAATATATTCAACCCATGTGTGAAATATAGAAGTAGTACGTGTTATTTATTATTAAAGCAACCAAGAATATTCTGTTAATTACATTTCTCATTTTAAAGACATTGGCTTATATAAATTGATAATTGGTCTTCAACCAAAAGAAACTGAGACAAGGAATGCTGTTTCAACTTAAAGACATCAGAGCTACATTAATATCATAATCGACAATGTCCATGGTTTGTTATTTCACATAAGCCCTGCTCTCTGTTTCAGGGATTGAGTGTAAAACCTGATAATTGACCCTTACAAATCTGATAACTTCCTTTGTAGATACTGCCAAACCCTGCTGTCTGTTTCAGGGATTGAGTGTAAAACCTTATAATTGACCGGTACAAATCTGATGACTTCTTTCGTAGGTACTGCCAAACCCTGCTCTCTGTTTCAGGGATTGAGTGTAAAACCCGTACAAATCTGATAACTTCCTTTGTAGGTACTGCCAGCACTGCTCTCTGTTTCTGGGATTGAGTGTAAAACCTGATAATTGACCCTTACAAATCTGATAACTTCCTTTGTAGGTACTGCCACACCCTGCTCTCTGTTTCAGGGATTGAGTGTAAAACCCGTACAAATCTGATAACTTCCTTTGTAGGTACTGCCAGCACTGCTCTCTGTTTCAGGGATTGAGTGTAAAACCTGATAATTGACTTGTACAAATCTGATAACTTCCTTTGTAGGTACTGCCAGCACTGCGATCGTTCTGTGTGTTCTGCTGCTTGGGTATACTGGCGCTGTTTCTGATGGCGGCCACCTTCTTCGTCGGCTGTATTGCTCTTACAGCTAAGAGACGTGACGCTGACAGAAATTCGTTGGTATGCTGCTACCGACACAATGCAGACTATCGGCCGAACGAATGCAGTAAAACAGAGCTCTTTGTCGCAGCAATTAAGAAGTTTTACGCACCAACTTTGATGCGTCTACCTGTGAAGGTAATTCCTATTCTCGTTTCCTGATTATAATAATTTGTGTGTAGGATATTTTTCATTTTTTACAATAATTCATCATTTAAGTATTGCAGATTTTTTCATTTCTTCATATTATGCTAGTAAATATATATTGTTATGTGCTAAGCTCCTTCTCCTGCACCGATTGACATTTCTGTAGTGAGTTGATACAATTGATAAATTTTGAAAGCTTAATAAGGAAGCTTTAAAGTTTTAGATGTTGTTGCACAGCATATTATGAGTTGTATAACTGCTACATTTCATGTTGGTAGTATATTCAGCTTCATTCACCATTAGAACTGAATTAATGATTTCTCAACCTCAATTTATTTTCAGGGTAAAAAAACTGAATTAAGCAATTTTTAGTCAAGTATATACCTTGTAAGATTGGTGTTGATGGATAAACATGAAATTCTGACCCCTGAGAAGTAAATCACTCAGTATATAGTTTATAACACTGAAACTTTTTTTTCTCTGAATACAGATAGCTGCTATGGTTGTGACCGCTATCTTCCTTGGATTTGGTATTTGGGGGTTTGTGGTGCTGAAGCAAGACTACAACCCCATCTGGTTCATTCCCTCCGACTCCTATCCCTACAAGTATGACGGTGCTAGTAACAAGTACTTCAACACGGGTGCTCAGGCCTCCGCCTACTGCAGTAAGTGTTATGTACAGTTCGTGGCATTTTCTGGCCTCGGCCTACTGAAGTTTGTGTTATGTACAGTTTGTTGCATTTTCTGGCCTCGGCCTACTGAAGTTAGTGTTATGTACAGTTCGTGGCATTTTGTGTCCTCCGCCTACTGAAGTTAGTGTTATGTACAGTTCATTGCATTTTCTGGCCTCGGCCTACTGCAGTAAGAGTTATGTACAGTTCGTTGCATTTTCTGGCCTCGGCCTACTGCAGTAAGTGTTATGTGCAGTTCATTGCATTTTCTGGCCTCGGCCTACAGAAGTTAGTGTTATGTACAGTTCGTTGCATTTCGTGTCCTCAGCCTACTGCAATAAGTGTTATGTACAGTTCGTGGCATTTTGTGGCCTCCGCCTACTGCAGTAAGTGTTATGTACAGTTCGTTGCATTTTCTGGCCTCGTCCTACTGCAGTAAGTGTTATGTGCAGTTCGTGGCATTTTGTGGCCTCCGCCTACTGCAGTAAGTGTTATGTACAGTTCATTGCATTTTCTGGCCTCTGCCTACTGCAGTAAGTGTTATGTGCAGTTCGTGGCATTTTCTGGCCTCGGCCTACTGCAGCAAGTGTTATGTGCAGTTCGTGGCATTTTCTGGCCTCGGCCTACTGCAGTAAGTGTTATGTGCAGTTCGTGGCATTTTCTGGCCTCAGCCTACTGCAGTAAGTGTTATGTACAGTTCGTGACATTTTGTGGCCTCAGCCTACTGCAGTAAGTGTTATGTACAGTTCGTTGCATTTTCTGGCCTCAGCCTACTACAGTAAGTGTTATGTACAGTTCGTTGCATTTTCTGGCCTCGGCCTACTGCAGTAAGTGTTATGTACAGTTCGTTGCATTTTCTGGCCTCAGCCTACTACAGTAAGTGNATTCTCCTGCAGTTTAGATTTGTAATGTGATTAAATACCATGCAGTTCTAATAGGTATCATAAATTTACTGCATTAATACACTCTATATACATTTTGTTGAATTAATGATTATTGTGTGCTCAGAGGTCATGATTTTAGTTAGCTACGTGTGGTGCTCCGTGGTCCTGACTTAAGTCCACTAAATGTGGTGCTCCAAGGGGTCTTGATTTTAGTTAGCTACGTGTGATGCTCCGAGGTCCTAACTTGAATCTGTTACATGTGGTGCCCCCGAGGTCCTGACTTAAGTCTGCTAAACATGGTGCTCAGAGGTTGTGCTTTTAGTTAGCTACATGTGGTGTTTAGAGGTCCAGACTCTAGTCCACTACATGTGGTGCTCAGAGGTCCTGACTCTAGTCAGCTACATCTGGTGCTCAGAGGTCCAGACTCTAGTCAGCTACATGTGGTGCTCAGAGGTCCAGACTCTAGTCAGTTGCATGTGGTGCTCAGAGGTCCAGACTCTAGTCAGTTGCATGTGGTGCTCAGAGGTCCTGACTCTAGTCAGCTACATGTGGTGCTCAGAGGTCCTGACTCTAGTCAGTTGCATGTGGTGCTCAGAGGTCCTGACTCTAGTCATCTACATGTGGTGCTCAGAGATCCTGACTCTAGTCAGCTACCTGTGATGTTCAGAGGTCCTGACTCTACTCAGCTACATGTGGTGTTCCGAGATCCTGACTCTACTCAGCTACATGTGGTGTTCCGAGGTCCTGACTCTAGTCCGCTACATGTCGTGCTCAGAGGTTCAGACTCTAGTCAGCTACAAGTGGTGCTCAGAGATCCTGACTCTAGTCAGCTAGATGTGGTGTTCAGAGGTTCTGACTCTAGTCAGCTACATGTGGTGCTCAGAGGTTCAGACTCTAGTCAGCTACATGTGGTGTTCCGAGATCCTGACTCTAGTCAGCTACATGTGGTGTTCAGAGGTCCTGACTCTAGTCAGCTACATGTGGTGTTCAGAGGTCGTGACTCTAGTCAGCTACAAGTGGTGTTCAGAGATCCTGACTCTAGTCAGCTACATGTGATGTTCAGAGGTCCTGACTCTAGTCAGCTACATGTGGTGCTCAGAGGTTCAGACTCTAGTCAACTACATGAGGTGCTCAGAGGTCGTGAATATAGTCAGCTTCATGTGGTGCTCAGAGGTCCTGACTCTAGTCAGCTACATCTGGTGCTCAGAGGTCCAGACTCTAGTCAGCTACATGTGGTGCTCAGAGGTCTTGACTCTTGTCAACTACATGTGGTGCTCAGAGGTTCAGACTCTAGTCAACTACATGTGGTGCTCAGAGGTCGTGAATCTAGTCAGCTTCATGTGGTGCTCAGAGGTCCTGACTAAAGTCTGTTAAACATGGTGCTTATTCAGAGATGTTGACTCTTGTGAGTTATATGTGGCACTTAAGAGACATCAATTCAAGTGAGTTACATTTGTTTGACAGATGTTGACTTGTGATTTAATGTGGTACTCTGATGTTTATTGGTACAGTATCTATAGCGTTGGTGTTAATTTGGTGCCCAGTTTACTTTCTTGTGTATTATGCATATGTATGTTTACTAGCAAGTGAGGAACAAAATGGGATCTTTATAACTAACAAATTATTATTTTCACATTACAGAAAACATTGATTACTTCTCAAGTAAGACCCAGTTCGATTCCCTGTACACCCAGCTGACAGGTAGCAGCTACATATCCACTGGGTCAACAGACAGCTGGTTCAAGTCCTTCACTGACTGGCTCAGTACCACCAGTACTGCCTCCGTCACCTCCAGGTTGGATGGCTGTAAGTTTGTACAAAAGATGTCCTTAACTCATTCACCCCTGAAATGTCATAATGAACTATTCCAACCTTTGAATTGGATGAGTTCAAATGTGTCCTCAGGGGTGAATGAGTTAACTGGACTAACGAAGAAGCTTCATCATTATAAAAAAAGTGAAATACAATGTAATTTAAATTTTGCTTGATTTATAATCCTTTTTATTTCATCAAATAGTTTTAATGGATGTTGTTCTAGAGTCTAGCTCTCTTACCATTCTGTGTAGAATCATTAGACGCTTGTATGCAAGTGAGGGTATTGGAGACAGTGGCATGCACTAAAACAGGTCACTTCCTATATTTTACTACTTGGCTTAAATTGCATCAAAATCTTATCTTGGACACATATTTGTCATTATAATACAGTATCATCAAAACTCTACATCTTTGGAAGGTATAGTATTCTGTACTTCAAAACCAGGTCACTTTGACCTACATTTTAATCTTTGACCTATATTAATACATTCGTAAGATCTTATTTGGGATATCTCTTCATAAAACTAAAAGTTATAACGAACATGATCATCAGAACTGCTATGCAGGAATATGTCTGACTCATTTAAGTGAAACAAATGAACTTAATAGTTAATACCATACAATGGGCTTACTGATAGATAAATTATTCCTAATTCAGGAAGGAGTTTTTCATTAAATCAAGCCTTAATCCCCCCTTACCCTTTCCAGCTGTCAATATCAACACACATGGTTGGGGACAATGGCAGTAGGTTGTCATCTTGCTGTATTGAGTTGGCTGTCTGTATATCTAGATATTAATAAGCATTACACAGTTGTATTTTATTGTTGCAGCTAAATACCCAACTACCTCGACAAACTTTTATGATCTGCTGTACGAGTTTGTGACGACGGAGGCGACAGGGCTGCGTCACAGAAGTGAGGTAGTGTTCACCAACAACTCCGGAGTCCTTGGCGTGTCCGTAAGTTTAACATTATGGAAGATGGCACGATCAGTTTATAATGACTAATTCAGACCTTTCCCAGTTTTGGGGTTAAGGCAGAAAATCTCAACCCAAAGAATAAGACCTTAATGTCCAATCTGAGACTCGGCCAAGATTGTCTGTCTTGCTTTCAAAGGAATTTTAAAAATTCATACATTTTTGTTTTCCATTTTATTTTCAAGTGTTTCAAAATGAAAGATATTTCAATTAAATTTCAGTTGAAATATACCAGTGTAATATTGTATTAAGATTTTAAAATGCATAAAGGTATATAAAACAGCTATACAAGTTCGAGATTTATTTGTTTGACAGTCCATATTATTAGAATTGTCAATCACTATCACTACCAGGAACATAGCATACTAGATTTTTCTCCCGTCATGAAAAGATATCAAGCCATATTTAAGCTCAGACTTGCTTTGTAGGCATCCTACATAAAATTCACGCACATAGTTTTAACCGACTCCACAAGTAAGATCAACGCTATGGAGAATACCATGAGTATTGTGTCCGACCTCTTCTCCGACGACAACTGTTTCGCCTATGGCAGACTGTATTTACAGTGGTACACAAACAAGGTAATGATTCAGGTTTAATGTTCATTCATATTCATCTTTCAGTTAACTAATAAAACCGTTATACAGATATATGGAGTAGTTTTTGTCGCGAAATATTGCTACGAAATATTTATAACTTTCTGATATGCCTCAAATTTAGTTTTGTGCATTATGTATATTTTGATATACATTTATACAACACTCAATAACTTCAAAAATTGTACATCATCACCGAATTACTCCATAGGGGAAATTTTTTGCTATAGTTTAACCTTCGCCTTTTTGGCCTTCGTAATAAGGGGATATTTGTCATAGGAGTGAATACTAGTAAACATCGTATTAAACATAAGCGATCAACAGTGAAGGGCGAAACCAACACTGGGCAAATGCAGATTTTACCAGGTAGGGTGAAAGTTTCACAGTATATTTTTACAGTGCGAGTCAATGGGATGTTTCACTCATATCGAGCTGCACATAGACCGATGGCATAAGAATGGTGTTAAATGATTCGTTGTGTTTCACTCTAGGTTATCCAGACCGAGTTATACAGGAACCTGGGACTAGCTGCCCTCTGTGTGTTTGTAGTCTGCCTCATCCTCATAGCCAACCTCTTCACAAGCCTTATGGTCCTTTCCTGTGTCATCTTCACGCTGGTAAGTAGCACCGTATTACGATGATCTTCTGTGAAAACAAGCATGAGCTGCATGTTTAAAACTGTAACACCAGTGAGACAGAGGATTTGGGTCCAGTAGGGGAAATAGAGGGAGTTCATGGGGCAAAAGTGGATGGATTGGATAGAGGGGGTACTTCCATGTTATTGTATTAACATCGTTGTGTCTCAAGTAATTTTCAACGGATTAACTCCAAAGGATACTATGACAGCTCTGACAAGTTGGATAACCACGATTATCCGACTGTAATTTACTGAGTTATGTCCCCTGAATCAGTGTAGCGAGTGCAATAACACTTATCTGACTGTAATTTACGAGTTATGCCCCTTGAATCACTGTTGTGAGTGCAATAACACTTATCTGACTGTAATTTACGGAGTTATGCCCCTTGAATCAGTGTAGTGAGTGCAGTAACACTTATCTGACCATAATTAATAGACTTGTTGATTCCCCTTGGTTTCACTAATGCAATACTTCATGCATTCCCTGATGTTTTATTATACTCATTGATCTACCAGATATGTTGAATGGTTTCTCCTTTAACATCAATTACTCACAAATATTTCATTCCGTGATACGAACAACTGCTCATGAGTACCGCTTTGCAGTAGCCTTGTTTCTGTTGGGTTTTGTTTCCCTTTAACTTGTGGTAGTTCTCAGTGTTTGGTGATACTTGTATTTATGGGTGTATTTTAGATCTCTATACAGGTCTATATATGTCGATCCCTTGTAAGGTTTTATATCATAGATATGTTGTATTTCCAGCTGGATGTCGGTGGGATGATGAACTTCTGGGGACTGACCATTGACACAGTGACCAGTATCATCCTAATCCTGGCCATTGGTCTGGCAGTAGATTACTCCGCTCATATTGGCCATTGTTTTATGACATTTACTGGGGACAGAAATGGTTTGTACTAATTCAGTTATAATACCGCTAATTTTAAAATTTCGGAATAAGATTCATCCGTTTGGTATGAATAGTAAACACTCTTTGCTTGACAAAGGAAACGGACATTTGTGAAAGCTCAAAAATTAATTAAGATTTTTAATTCCAGCTTTGTGTTCAAAACAAACTTTTAGCTGATTACTTTGAAATTGTTAAATTACCTGAAAAATATGTTGATAAATTTCCAATGTTTTCATTAAAAATAAAAAATAAAACAAAATCGTGCGGAAAACAGTTGCCTTGTTAGTATCTTATTTATCATTAACAAAGTCAGATTTACTTTTGGGCGAAATTATACATCTTTTTAAAAAAAAATTGGAACAATTTTCTGTTCTTATTACTGATTATAAGGGAAGAATCCCCTCAAAGATATTATCATATTTTTAATTAGAATGATATAGACTTAATGAGACTGTTGTGTTGTAGCTCGCGTTCGTGCCACCCTTGTTGAGATGGGAAGCCCAGTGTTCAGCGGGGCTTTCAGTACGTTCCTGGCATTCATCCTCCTAGCCTTCAGCAATAGCTACGTGTTTACCACATTTTTCAAGGTAAGAAATTGATGGTCTCTGTCACTGCTAGCGATATTAATGATTCCTGAGCAGCTATGCTAGCTATGCTTAGCTATATGAGTTTGCAAAGCACAAACTGAATGTGTTTCTGCAGGAATTAACTTAGTTAACTGAAATAGCTATGCGTGTCTGCACTGGGATCAACTGAATGTGTCTGCGCTGGTTTCAATGTCATGTGTCTGCAAGGGTCAAAAGAAAGTTTGTTTGTGGAGTTTGACTGAATATCACTGTAGGATTCAACTGAATGTTAATGTAGGGTTCAAATGAATGCATAGCTCTTAACCGTCCCTCATTAGGAGGGAGACTCCCTCATTTTGCCCAAAATTTACCAATCTCCCTCGAAACTCACTCTTTCAAGTCAAAACTTGCACCAAATCAAAATCTTCATCCTGTGGTCAAATGGTCTCCTAGTTATTGCAGGGTGTGTGTAATGATCATAACAGGTCTGTCTAAACCAAATGAATGCTGTTTGGAGTTATTTTGATACATAAAAAGGGACAGATAAATTGAGTTTTAGTCACGTTTCACACGCTTTCTCCCTCACTGAAAATGTGGAATGAGGGAGATCTTCCTCGTTGGTGATTTCAGAGGTTGACACCTATGAGAATGAGTCTGCAAGGGTCAAATGAATATTTGTTTGAGGAGTTCAGCTGAATGCCACCAGGGTTCAACTGAATGTCGATGAAGGGTCCAACACCACCTACGTCTGAAGGGTTCAACATAATGTACATGTGTCTGCAAAGGTCAACAGAGCATGTGATGTGTGCAGGGTTCCATTGAATGTCAAAGTAGGGTTCAACATTACATGTGTGTGCAAAGGTCAACATAATGTACATATGTCTGCAAAGGTCAACATAATGTACATGTGTCTGCAAAGGTCTACATAATGTACATGTGTCTGCAAAGGTCAGCAGAGCATGTGATGTGTGCAGGGTTCCATTGAATGTTAAAGTAGGGTTCAACATTACATGTGTGTGCAAAGGTCAACATAATGTACATATGTCTGCAAGGGTCAACACAATGTACATGTGTCTGCAAAGGTCAACAGAGCATGTGATGTGTGCATGGTTCCATTGAATGTCAAAGTAGGGTTCAACAATACATGTGTGTGCAAAGGTCAACATAATGTACATGTGTCGGCAAAGGTCAACAGAGCATGTGATGTGTGCAGGGTTCCATTGAATGTTAAAGTAGGGTTCAACATTACATGTGTGTGCAAGGGTCAACATAATGTACATATGTCTGCAAAGGTCAACATAATGTATATGTGTCTGCAAAGGTCAACAGAGCATGTGATGTGTGCATGGTTCCATTGAATGTCAAAGTAGGGTTCAACATCACATGTGTGTGCAAAGGTCAACATAATGTACATATGTCTGCAAAGGTCAGCATAATGTACATGTGTCTGCAAAGGTCAACATAATGTACATGTGTCTGCAAAGGTTAACATAATGTACATGTGTCTGCAAAGGTCTACATAATGTACATGTGTCTGCAAAGGCCAACTTAATGTATATGTGTCTGCAAAGGTCAACAGAGCATGTGAAGTGTGCAGGGTTCCATTGAATGTCAAAGTAGGGTTCATCTTAGTGTGTTTCTGCAGGGTTTAACAGAATGAAAGTTATAGGTTCAACTGAATGAGTGTGTGCAGGTAGCACCCGATGATTCCTCAGGAGGAGAGGTAATTGTGTATCTCTAACAATTAAACTCACGTTTCCTAAATCAACGTTGTGTAAGGTAGGACAGTATTTTACAGTGACATGTAACATGATTGTGTGAACTTTTAATATTTACAGGTGTTTCTGCTGGTAGTGGTGTTTGGGGGGTTCCACGGATTAGTGCACATTATCTGAACTTTAATATGTACAGGTGTTTCTGCTGCTAGTGGTGTTTGGGGTGTTCCACGAATTAGTGTACATTGTCTGAATTTTAATATTTACAGGGGTTTCTGCTGGGAGTGGTGTTTGGGGTGTTCCATGGATTAGGGTACATTGTCTGAACATTAATATTTACAGGTGTGTCTGCTGGTAGTAGTGTGTGGGGTGTTCCACTGATTAGTGTACATTGTCTGAACTCTAATATTTACAGGTGTGTCTGCTGGTAGTAGTGTTTGGCGTGTTCCACGGATTAGGGTACATTGTCTGAACATTAATATTTACAGGTGTTTCTGCTGGTAGCAGTGTTTGGGGTGTTCCACGGATTAGTGTACCTACCCGTGCTCCTCAGCTGGATAGGACCCTTGCCATACATGACTGCCGAACGCGGGGAGAGTGGAGCAGGGGAGGTGGAACTGAGAATCACATCAGCTGACCTCAACCATAAATCACGCTCATCGTTACAAGGAGAAACTAATCTAGCAATGGAAAATAAGGTATTTAGCTGATAAGTTGTAGAGAAAATGTTGATCTCATGTGCAATATTTAAAATGAGGTTGTCAGAACCTTACAACACCTTAACCCTTTCACCACTGTAGACCATAATGGACTCATCCAGATCAATGCAAGGTAGAGTCTACTAAAGTTACATAGGGTTGAAAGGGTTAACATTCCATAATATCAGTGGAACGGGCTATCAGTCCAGACGGCCATTAAACATTCCCTGATATCAAAATATGTTGATGATAAATTAAAATGCTACTGTTAAAAATATGATTGATGTTCGCTAGTAATCAAAATAACTTGGTGCGACCCAGTTAACACTACAACTGACTGGAACACACGATACAGTCAGAAGTGTATTTTACATCTTTGTTGAAAATAAAAAAGTGTGCAGAATAATACATAATTGCTATAGAATGTTGTCTATGCAGTGTTTCTTCACCAGAGTTATGCAGCAACATGTTGAGTTTGTGGACTATTATTGTACCAAGATATCTGCCTGAACAGCACTTACAGAAATTACTCTGTATACAGGATACTGAACAGCACTTACAGAAATTACTCTGTATACAGGATACTGGACAGCACTTACAGAAATTACTCTGTATACAGGATACTGAACAGCACTTACAGAAATTACTCTGTATACAGGATACTGGACAGCACTTACAGAAATTACTCTGTATACAGGATACTGGAAGCCTTGTAGTTTTATTTCTTATACCTGTTAGCAGGTATCATGCGGGATGCAACATGTGGTGGAAAACATAATAATATATACTTGATTGTTTGCGTTAAAACATGTTTTTTCTGATAATAAAGTTATACTACCATTTTGATAGTTTTTTCAATAAATATCTACCATTTTGTCAATTTTTTACAACAAAATTGATCATTTTTAGTTATTTGTTTTAAATTACTATAAACTGACTTCTAGTACTGTATTCCGGAAAACTTTTGTTCTGAAGTATTGGCCCTTCACTGGTAAAATATCAATTTACCCAGTGTTAATTTCAACCTTTGTAATATTACTATATGTGGTATATCATGTTATTACATTGGCTGTCTTGATAAATTTGCCCTCATAACAGGATGCAGAAAGTGTGGAAGTTACACTAAGCTCAACAATTCCAAGGTATACAGTATTAATGCAGCTTCTAGATGACTTACCCCTGTAGATGCTTTTCTTCATCTGTTTCTTTGTGTTGATGTCCTGTCTAGGTTGAAGACCCCCAGCTGCAGTAGATCAGGATTACAGAGATTAGGGGTGAACTTGCATCTTTATCATTTAATCGTCGAGTTCCTGTTTTTGTATTATTTTTTTTCCCTTTTATTTGAAATTTGAGTTGTTGAATATTTTCTGTATTTCCTACTTCTCTTTGAGGTGTAGTTGTTGTAAAACATTTTCTTTATTTCCTTTAAGTTGTTGACTTCCAGTTGTTGTGGAATATTTCCTTTCTTTTCTTTTCATTGTTTAGTCACTGTTGTTGTAGAATCCATCTGATTGTTGATTTACAGATATTTTCATTGTTTCCTTCTCATTGTTGAGTTGCTGTAGAAACAGGTCTAGCTCACCCGCACAATTTCTTCTCTAAACTTATTTAAGCTTCCAAGTTTTGACAATCTTTAAAGGACAAGGGTATAATGCTATTACTTCTTCTAAAGAACTGAAAGACCTAAGATAATGATATTTAGGCATTGACTACCAAGGATAGAGTGCTTTAAAGCCTCTTCATATATATGACCTTGACCTATTTTCAGTGTCACAGAGGTCAAATATGTTAAGAAACTTCAATCACTTTGAACAGCCTAGAGCCATGATACTGGAGTATACTATGGAGACCAACAGTTTTGATTTTTTCTGTAACAGATTACAGTGGTCAAAAGTCAGTCTGGGCTGTAATAAGTATAAAAAGCTCTTTAGTGCCATAAGGCCCAGGGTCAGGCTATTTTGGCAGTGGGTACCCAGTAACTAATTCATTTTTCAAGGTCACAGGGGAAAAATATCCTAATACAAATGTAGCTTCAAACAACATTATTTTAAGCACCTTAGGGACCTGGATCATGATACTTGGGTATGTTATATGTAGACCAGGGCCGTTTTCGTTTAAATGGTTGAACCGGTCGGACAACAGTTCTTCGTTTATTAAATAAGGTCGGACCTAGTAATCTGAAGCTGCTTTCAGGCGAACTTTGACAAAGCATTGTAAGGCCTGCATAAACATGTGCAGGTTCGCCAACATTTATATCCGAAATTGTTACATTTACAAACGGACAAACCGGTTGTTCCACATAAACGAACAGGCCCCAGCAGTATGAATCTTTTCCAATATAACATGTTGGGAAAAAGTTCAACTTTTAGTGTTGTCCAGGTAAAAGATCAACATTCTATAATGTGGTGAGAAAAACTTTAAAAATCTTCTTCTTAAATTCCATAAGGCCCAGGCTCATGATGTTAAGCCAGTATGTATCTGAGGTAGAGTGTTGTAAAGTGTCCTCATGTCTTCATGGTCACAAGAGTCCTTGGATTCAAACAGAGAAGATCCCTACCTTATATATACCCAGGCACACTATCTGTCCACTTGGCATGAAGAGACACTTATTTAAGTAATGCTATAGGGATTGACTACAAGGTCCCAGTCTGGCCCCACACCAAGGAATTTAATCCAAGAGGCACTATGGCACAAATTATTAACTAATAACATCAATGGAAACATGCATAGAATTATAGTCAATATGTACAGTGAGATAAAGTCAAGAATAGTAAATAATGGAGAAACGTCAGATTTCTTCAGGTGTGAAAATGGAGTCAGGCAAGGTGAAAATATGTCATCTTTCCTTTTCTCCATCTTTCACAACGATATACAATGTTTTTTATCATCAGTGAATGTCAACGGTCTTAATTCGGTATCTGAATTACTTGAAAACAAGCTCGGTATGTACTTAAAGCTATTTTGTTTGTTATATGCAGATGACACTGTATTATTAGCAGAAACCCCAAACGACCTTCAAAACATGCTGGATGGTTTCAAAACATATTGCGATAAATGGAACATGAAAGTAAATATTAGCAAGTCAAATATCATGATTTTCAGTCGAGGGAGAATACCTGATGATTTGAGATTTAACTATGATGGCAAACCGCTTGAAATAGTCAAGGAATTTAACTATTTGGGTATTTTATTTTGTAAATCTGGAAGTTTTTCAAAAGCAAAAAATATACTAGCGCTTAAAGGAACTAGAGCCATGTACGAGGTACTGAAAAAGGGTAGATTGCATAATCTAACAATACAGTGTCAACTTGATTTATTTGACAAAATTGTTACACCAGTTTTATTATATGGTTGTGAAGCATGGGGGTTTTCTAATAATACTGTCATAGAAAGGGTCCATTTAAAATTCTGCAAATTATTACCTTAAATCTTCTACCCCTGACAACATGGTTTATGGAGAGCTCAGCAGGCATCCTCTTGGTATAGAAATTAAGACCTGAATGATATCAAATTGGTCAAAACTGATTCGAGGTAAAGAAAGTAAAATAAGTAATATTTTGTATAGATTATCAATTATTATCAACGAAGAAAAAAATGGTTCCTTCGCATGGATAGAAAGCATAATGAGTACTCTGAATAATTGCGGACTCTCTAACATCTGGTTAAACCAAAATCCAATTAGTCTATAGTGGCTTGTTTCAAAAATAAAACTTAACTTGATTGATCAGTTCAAACAAAACTGGGCAGAAATATGCAGAGATTCTCCAAAATCCACCATATACAGAGTCTTTAAGGAAGAAGTCGTGTTCGAAAACTACTTAAATATTCTCTCAAAAAATGATGCTTATACTCTTTGTAGGTTTAGAACCAGAAATACTAACTTATATATATTACCTGTAGGAGCCGGAATTAGGAGTAATATACCAAGACATGAACGTATTTGTCAATTGTGTGATGTAAGAGATATCATAGATGAATTCCATTATATATTTGAATGTCCGGCATTAGATAATGAAAGGAAAATTTCTCTATTCTCTATGTTAATTAGACGTCATAGTGTTTTATCGCTTAAGGTTATAATGTCATCTAAAAGAAAAGCATTCCTGAAAAAATGATGTACTTTTATCAAAAAAAATAATTCTGTCTGTTCCCCTGCATGAAAGTATTTATTATATGTAACTGCAGTACATCTCCGTTTCTATTATACTGTATCCCTCTATATAACCACGCATGCTAATTACTGTACATGAAATATTTATATATCTATCTCTCAGTATACCATTGTAATGCAAAGGTGTTGAGACAAATAAAATCAATCACAACATTGAGCCTTACCCTATTGCCATTTGCACAATTGCTGGGCGTTAAGACCCATTAGGAATGTTTTCCCGGGTCTGGCCCCATTCCTGGGGACATAGTACGTAGTCCCTGAGTCATAACATGTAAATTTATAGAACAAAGAAAAGTGTTGATATAGGGAGACAATGGCAAACCAATTATAGTCTGTTTCATACTTACTCCACAGGTAACTTACCTGTGTGAAAGTTACCCGTCTGACTTGTAGCTTTTCTGTGTATGTGGTATGTTAGGTTATGGATATATATGTTTTTTGAATATTTGAACAAACTTGGTAGCCCTTCATGCCAACATCCTTCTGGCCAAATATCATCACCCTGGACCTTTTGGTTATACAGAAGAAGTCGTTTAAAGGTTTTAAAGACAATTGACTCCTTTGACCTTGAATATGAGTGAAGGTCATTTGTTCGAACAAACTTGGTAGCCCTTCATGCCAACATCCTCCTGGCCAAATATCATCACCCTAGGCCTCTTGGTTATTCAGAAGAAGTTGTTTAAAGATTTTAACATATTTGACCCCTGTGACCTTGAAAATGGATGAAGGTCATTTATTTGAACAAACTTGAATTCGTTTAAAGGTTTTGAAGACAATTGACTCCTTTGACCTTGAATATGAGTGAAGGCCATTTGTTCGAACAAACTTG